TTCATGGGTCCAGGGAAAAGAGTGGACAAGCAAACAGCTGCTACAGATATTTTCCTGGATGTGGCCCAGTCCACAGAGGAAAAATGAGGAGGCAATTAGAATTTACTGTTCTTAAGTTAGCACATTTAAAAATGACTTTAATTTCTGACTGGAGTACCATTGCCTGACATTATATGAACCCTAGTCATTTATAAACTCTGCATAAAATTACATTTGTTTTCTAGGAATGTCACCATTTAATTTCTTATGTGATTTTATGTTTGATCCAAATCCCGTTTTCTGCATATCTAAGCATGTGTTAATGTTGACAATATTGGTCAATTATGAGTAGTTGCAAGCTACTACTGCCCTCTATGTGTTACATAGATAACTACAGTCTCCTCATGTGCTCTCATTTGAACAAAATCAACATACTAAACCATGCTACAGGGATCTTATTGTAAATGCAGCTGTAAATGTTCTGGACACAGCAATAAAACACATTCCAAAAAATAAAAAATGCTGTTTGCTCCCAGGGGGGGTTCCCTTTGAGAAAATACATTAAACTGGCTCAACAATGTTCGAGTTTGAGAAGAGACTCCCTGCAGTGAACTCTCAATGTCCATCAGTGGCACACTGCTAAAGGCCTTGTATAGACAAGCCTTGGGCATACAGACATACATTGAAGGTCCTCCATTCGACCCTGATGCTGTGCCCATACCCCCTGTTGCTCCACTCTGTCTTCCCAAGCGGGTCCTCTCTTTCATTTGGCTCATTTGAATTCCAACATGGGAGACCGCTGATGAGCCGGGTGAACTGTTACACTACACGACAAGACTGCTAATTAATCACAGCAACTGTACACATTGCCTCTGTGGTGTTGACTTGCGCACATAAATCTGCCGTTTCCACTTAATGAGTTAGACGCACCTGTCTGAAGCCAGCAATTACTCAATGCAACACATGCAGAGATACATCAGAGGGTGTTTTCCTTTGCCGTCTTATTTAGGTGCACAGCTAATCTACAGCCTGAAAAGTGCTACAAAACAATAACAAACACAAATTCAGTTTATGCAAGGATACTAGCAGCCTCCTTACCCTCGTTTGTGCTAATGTATGAGTCACAGAGCTAAGCGTCTTTGCTTGCTTACTTTTACTTGTTCTACCTTATTTTATTGTTCTTCTGGATTATTTGTGCTATGTACTCAGGTATCCCTCGAAAATTAGATCTTGATGGCAAATGAAAAACAATGTCTGCTGTGAGATGAAAAAACATTTTTAATCTGTTTCCAAAATTGCAACTATATTTCCTTAGCCAATTGCTGGAAGTGACATATGTTCTAATATGTATCTACTGTATGTTCATGTTATTTATTTTCATACATAGTAACACATTTCTATTTTTGTGTTGCATAAATACATGCATAATCCCATTCTGCAACTATCTTTGTTTAGATTAAGAAACAGACGCAACTTGTGCAGCAGACAGAAACAATATTTTTGGAGTGCTGTTAAATGGCCGGGGTTTTTGAAAGACTGCCAGAAAAACAGACTTAGCTCTGTGACACAAAAGTAATGACAATAGATGAGAGGCACCAACTGTGGCTAACAGCCTCCCTATCTCCCCTACTGTGCACCAGCTCTCATCTCATCTGTCCTTGTTTACCGTGGAGGTTTCCTGGACATCATATGACTTCCTCTGATCACTTCCTCCACCTGCAGAGTTTCTCCCTGGTGATTTAAGCCACTCTGGCACTTCTCCCGCCTCTGCCCTTGTTCCCAAACGGCGGGGGACCTCCCTTTCTGCTCTCGCTCGCAACCTTCCTCCCTCCTTCGCTATCAGATCCTCCTCCTTTCCTCCTACCTCATTGTGTGCCCTCTCTTCTGCGTCTTCTGCTGGTTTCCCTTTTTCCACTTTTCTTTCTTCACTGTCACGCTCTCTCTCTCTTATTTTCTCTTGCTCTTTTTCTTTTCTCACACACACTCTCTCTCTCCCTCCCTCCCTCCTTCCTCTCTCTCTCTCCTCCACATCAGCTCACTCCATCTCCCAGCTCGCCACAGGAGAGTCCAGGGTTTGGCCTTGCTCCCTGTCTCTGAGTGCTGTGTGAATTGTGTGAGCGGTGTTGGGATCCTGCCACTAAGGTTAGAGGAGGTATGCAGGAGACGATTAGGCACAAAGAATGTCCAACGCACAGGTGTGACGGCTATCCCACACACCAGCAGATGCGATGACACAAACACTGCTTTAATCTCAGAGCTTGGTGGTTTGTGCTCGCAGATCCCTGTCAAACGTGCAGCTCTTTTGAAGGTCCCTCAGCTTGTGTTTACACCCCAATGTAGCGCGCATACAGAAAGCAGCCACATACCAAAACAGAGGTGCAGATTACAGTCACACACACACACACACACACACAAATGCACCCACATAAATACACACACATAAAAAAACATGTTTTATGACAAACAACCACCGATGATCTCCCATTAAGCTCATAAATTCAGGATTATGTGTTTGTGGAAGCCTGTGTCAAACATCGGGAACAAAGAGGATACACACTCTTGGCCACAACAATTGCAGTAATGGCTCTCATTATGCTGTTCCATACAAAATAACTTAATTGCAGTTTGTTTAGACACGTAGTGAAGTCCCCTTTTCATGTAATCCAGACCATGTGCATGCAGAAGATATAAAAAGTCCATTAGGGTAAAAAAGTTTATGACTCACTAACGCATTACAAATTAGATTTGATTATGAGGAATGTCATGCTTGGTGTAATCCACCTAGCCTAAAAACATAATACACATGCCTGAGTGGGACAGCAGACTCTCCTGGCTTAGATCATCTCGTGTATATTTTTTACGTGAGGATACACTGAAATGATGCTCAGCTGTAAAAATCATACAAAAGTCATCTGTCATCATCGAGACTTGTCAGGATTTTTCTCAAAATCAAATGTGACATTAAAGGATTGTTTTTGCGTGTGTTGTGGGGGATGTCTGTTGCTGTCGCATTAGTGATGGCCATATGCTTTGGGTCAGTGTTTCCACAAACTTCATACTGCTTGCCATAAAACAATCACACATACCAAATATTATTAAATTGTTTCAGCGGTTTTCCATTAAATTTTGAAATTCTGTTTACCTCTATGTCGCCACATACTTTCCAGATGACACAGGGTTAGTTTTAGCTGAGTTTTTATATTGGTATGTGTACTTTTTTTTTTAAATATCACATTCGTTTGGCAGATTCTTTTGTCCAAAGGAACTAACAATAAGTTCATTCAACCTCCATGGAAGGAAGAGTTAGATGCCATAAAATACCGAACTTCATCTAAAGGAAGGTTGACCATTGTGACCCATTCATTGAATATTACTCACATATTACTCATTTTTACATGATAGATTGTCATGGATTTTGGTGCAGACATTCGTGTCCCCTTCGGGATGAATTGTAATAACTTTAGTGATCTCCTGGCTTTTTTTCTTTAGCGCCATCCACGGGTCAATGTTTCAATTCAGTTTATGACCAAAATACTTGCAAAACTAATGACATACTAACAGGCTAACATATTAAACTAAGATGGTGAACATGGTAAACATTACACCTGCTAAACATCATCACGTGAACATTGTCACTCCACTGTCATGAGCATGTTAGCATCTAAACACCACCATTTAGCTCTAGCGGTGCTTAATTACATTCTCACAGCGCCCCTGGTGTGACTGTAATTAGTCTTAGTCTTGTTTCATGTGTCTGTTTGTTTTTAGTGTGTGATTTCAGTTGTGATTTTACTTACATAAAAAATGTTGGCATGCGTAGTTCTAAAGTATAATATTCTTCCCAAGCACACACACACACACACACACACACACACACACACACACACACACACACACACACACACACACACTTCACAACTCATCACCCCACCCATCCAGCTAGACAGCCTGGCCCTCCAGTCCATATGGAACTGATCACAAATCAACAAACACAGTGTAAATAGCAACTAACACACCATAAACAGATCAAGTATTGCTAGTACACATACAATCGAAGGTCATCTAAGCACTTTAGAGAAAAAGCTTCCATTTGTTTGCAGATTTTTTCCGGTGGTGTTCTGACGCAGGTTGGGTTTGATGAGGTTGTTTGTTTCAGGCCGCTTGAAGGTTTGAAAGAAGAGAATAAGAGAGCTTTTTTTTTTCTCTTTTGGTGCATTTGGTGTACTTTGCCAGCATGGCCAGTGGCTTTAGCTGAACCTGCTGATCTGCTCAGTGAGTAAATATACAGTGTTTTACCTGCTTCTAGTCAGCCAGCAATGCCATTTATAAATCCACATCTATGGGGGGTAAAAACAGATTAGGTAGTCTACTGCCAATTATTTGTAGTGGAGTAGTGTTGCAGTAAGTCAGCTTTTTGTTGCCAATACTTTTACTTACAATGCAGGACTTTGTGTAATGGAGTAGCCAGTTTTGACAATGGGATCGTGCTTCTACTTAGATAGATAGATACTCCTACCACTATCACTGCATGTATGTTTAATTAGAAAATACAAATAATCACAGGTACAAGCACAAATTCAGGTATGGTGGCCATTGTTCAATTTTTTCAAAGAAATAATAATCTGTCATAATTTAAAATAAAAAAAAAATCTCTCCTAAACAACTCAAACTGCTTTCAAACAGTGAATGCTCTTTATTGTCCACTAGAGGGCGCTGTCATACTACAAGCATGTAGGGAAGCACGGGAGCTGTCCTCTGCCTGCTTCTGTCTGTAACTACAAACACACACACATATATGCTTTATAATTACACAGTCATATATGCATATACATATATACTGGCAGAGCTCACAGGTACACACATATTGTCAATGGCTGTACCTTTTATTGCACCACTGCTTGTATTTCCGCATTGAAGGTGGAGACTGTCAGGGGATAGGCCATGCCTGCTGTGTTACGTTTGGGGAAGTTGCTCAATATCGGAAAGACCAAAACCATTTTTTCCCCCCATCAACAGTGAGTAAAGTTTCGGTTTGCTAATGTTCTGATGTTATGGCAGGATAATAAATACCCACAACGGCGCTGTAAGTTGTACAAAATGTCAGTATAGCTGTCAGATAAAAGCTTGAATTTGGTATTTTCTGCTAGAATGAATAACTCAGTAACTTCCGCTACTTATATTCGTAACCTGAGTTATAGTTTACGTCGCAAGTTGTCCGATTTTTTGGACCCTCAAGAAAGGTGGAAAGATGTTATTGTATCGATACGGAAGCCGAATGGGGACTTTAGGTACACTCAGCATCATGTGAGGTAGGTAATTGGAGCTGGTGACATGGTAGACAAGCTGTATTTACTTTTTTATTCTCTCAAAGTAAAGTTAGAATATTTCTGTTTATTTATTTATTTATTTATTTATTTATTTATCTACCAGTGTATCTGTTTCTTCTTCAGGAGGTTTGAAGGTCTTGTTAAACAGGGGAGAAGTCCCACAGTGGAGCTGCTGGTTGAATGGGGGACCACCAACAGTACAGTGGGAGAACTTGTGGACATTTTGAAGAGTCACAAGTTACTGGCTGCTGCTAGTGTTCTGCTACCTGGTACGAGTTTTTTTTATGCATTATGATAATCCGAGACAATATAATAGACCTGCAACTACATCTGCACCATTAATCCAAATATATATATAAGAGAAGCCATGTTTTGATGAAGGTAAAATGTGTGGCAGCATAATGAAGTTCTGTAATGCTGCAGAAATACCCTGGTCTGCAAATCTTGTTCTCCAGATTGAAAATATGTTTTGTTTGGTACAGTCCCCCCTAAATGTCACATTTCATGTATGATTTTTTTAGTAAAAATAAATTTTGTGATGCAAAAATGATGATTCCCACAGTAATCATCAATCATATCACAATAAAAAAAATAATCACAGTTTGATGTTATCACCTGTGCAGCCCTGCCTACAACCCTGTCTACCAATTCAAATTCATTCATTCAAATCTTTTTCATTTTGGTAAAACAATTTGATACATCTGTATCTGTCCAACATATTCAGAAACTCACTCAAACTTATTTGTCAGGGGCTAAGAACAAAAATACATTAATCTCATACAAAAGGCAGTCTATGGGCTGGTAGACTCAAACACTACCATGCATAATATGGGTGATCCCTGGGAAATTAGATGCAGAATTGCAATAGCAAGGATCACACAGTAACAAAGGTATTTGTAAAGATCATTCATTTCAGATACTGAACACCAACAAACATAAGAAAACAAACTGAATGAACCATTTATTTGTGTGTGTGTGTGTGTGTGTGTGTGTGTGTGTGTGTGTGTGTCATACAATGAAATGGTCTGTTTCATATGAGGTTACATGGTGACATAGAATGATAGAACGTAGGAATAAAGACTTGCAGCAGTTGACATTCATGATCAAAAGAAAAATCTTTCTTAACAGAAAAAAGTAAATGCTATTAGTAAAGTGCTTTACGTATACACAGAAATGTACAACACAAATGCTTTATAGATTATCTACACCGCTGTCTAGATAATCTGATAATGCACAAATGTCCATCTCAGAAAATCTTTTTATTATTTCAAAATTGTATCCACAAAATGTAGTAAAAAGTATTTTAATGAAATTAAAACCATGCTCAATATCAACAAGATAGCTTATTTTAATGTATTTTCTTTTGTCCACACACAGTGGAAGACGCCATCCCAGCAGTGCCACAGCAGGCCTCTCCAACAGTAGAAGTATCCAGTGCCGCTCCAACAACACTACTGGAGGAGACAGTGACACAGCCACAACCTCTCAGATCCATTCTGCAGCCACAGATTCTACTGGAGAGCAGTGAACCCGGCCAGACAGGTGGTTGCACTTTTTTTCTTCTTCAAATCGAGGTTTATGAGTTATGTAAAGAGCTGTTGAGTCACGTGTAGAGAGGCTAGTGTCAATGCTACTTTTTATGCATATAGTCCTCTATGGTGATCTGTGCATGAGAGGAAACGTATTAAAAAACATTATTTGTTCGTTGTCAGTTGAAACCCTCAACTTCAGTTTTGCTAACCCTTTCTTCCGACTTTAGTTGAATATATAAATCACCTCTCCTTTGTATAGGGAAATTGAAAAACATTTGCGTTGATAACAATTTCTAAATGAGAAGTGGTGAAAGTCATGAAGCATTCTGATGTTTTACTGAACTACTGCATTACAAATAAAAGTTGTGGGTAATAACAGCATATTGACCACACCATTTTTCAGAATTTTTCTATTTGTTCAGCATAACTTACAGTGATGGAAGATCTTCAGATATTCTACTTAAGTAAAAGTAGCATTATTTCCTTGTAGAGTAAAAGTACCAAAAGCTAAATAAATCGTACCACACACGCAATTTTATTTGGCTGGTGGAGGTAAAGCTGATTTTGAATACTTTAATATTATTGGGTAGTTTATTCTGTAGCAGTGGATCATATTACCTATAACTGAAGCTGTTAATTATGTAAAAAAAATAGTATATTATATATATCTGAAATATAGTGAAGTAGACTTACAGTATATAGTAGAATAAAATGTAAATACTCATAATTACTCACAAATGCAAATGTACTGAGTTTTATTCCACCACTATAAAGTCATTGTTTAGTTTTTTTCTTTCTTCCTGGCGTCCTGGCTTGATTTCAACAGAAGCAAAACTGAAAATGATGCTACTTCTGCTACAACTGATTTTACAAAATTGACAAGCAGGTAGCATCAATGAGGCCTTAAACATAAAAATCAATATGACAGATTTCTGTGTGTCCCTTTTTAGGTTTTTCTAGTTTCTTGTACAATGAGCTGATGAAGATTACAGGCAACTTTGATGACCGCCCCGTATCCGATGGCGGCAGCAGACTGGGAGAGGGAGGCTTTGGCACTGTATACAAAGGCCTTCTGAATGACAAACCTGTTGCGGTGAAAAAGCTCAATCCAGTGAGTGAAAATATTTTCATTCCAATCTCTGACTTTTGTAAATCTTGTAAATCACATTAGAAAAAATGTCGTCTCATTTAGATGGAGGACGTCTCCCTGGATGAGCTTCAAGTTCAGTTCAACCAAGAGATCCAAGCTCTGAGAGTGTACGTTTCATCTTCTGTCTTTATCCTTGTTATTAATCACTTTGCTTTTGAGTGACTTTGATTTTATTAGCTAGGCAGAAGAAGCAGACGTCTTAATCAAACTAATGGAACTTTAAAGGCTGAAAGCACTAACAGAGCTTTTGGAAAAGCAGCCTGCTCTGTTGTAAGCTCAGCACCAACAAATACCTTCAGATTTAACAGATACTTATACCCACTTATTTTAATTATCAATTTGAAAATAAATGATTTTTTTTTAACAATGACAGTGCAAGAAACAATCAGCAGCATCTGAGACTGTACATTGAAAACAAACTGTGATTGACGCAGAAGATGTATTCAAGGATTAGTTCGAGCTTTTGAAAAACAGGCTTATTTGTCTGTTACATATGAAGAGTTGAATTCATAAGCAAAAGATAATGTATTAAAGGTTTTGCTGCTACAGCCATAGGCCAGCGATGCACTTGCATTTAACTACATGTGTAGGTGCGCATGGTGGCTGCCTCACATATCCTGTGTCCATTCTGAGCACTGGAACGTAACGTGGTTAAAAAGCAAGTACATCTTCGGCTTTAATCGTTCTGCTATGACCAGTAGCCTGTGGCGGCAAATGAAAGCAAACTTTACGTAGATATTGCAGTGCACTGACATTACTAAGTCAGTTGTCTGATTTTGTGAAATAGGTTGTAGCATTTAACCTCATCCCATGTCACTTCTAGCATAAATTAACCAAAACTACCAGGACAGGGGGAAACAAATAAAACCCACCTATCAGCACTGCTAAAGCTTATTTTTTGTGTGGATTAAACCACTATGGTCTAATGTGAAAACTGAGAGCTTTAGAAATGCTGGTGGGCAGATTTTGTTACCTTTAAGCCGAGCAGGCTAGCTGGTTCCTGTCTTTATGCTAAGCTAAGCTAAGCACCTGACTATAGCTTCACTGGCATACAAATATGAGAGTGGTATCTTCTCAGCAAGGAAGGGAATAAGCGTGTTATCCCGAATGTCGGAACAGTTTCTTTAAGCCCAACATAGGTTGAAATAATGATCTAGATGGTTTGAAAAATAAAAGTTTGATGAGTCTGTTTGTTTCCACAGGTTGAAACATGAGAATTTGGTCGACATGGTTGGATTTTCGTGTGATGGACAGCACCCATGTTTGGTGTATGCCTTAATGGCCAATGGTTCTCTGCTAGACCGACTAGCTTGCTTGGTAAGCACCATCGACAGTACAGTAGTGGTAGTTGTGCATTTACACAAATCATTTAATTGTAGGCTTTTTCTCCTTTTAGGATGAAAGTCCTCCACTGTCCTGGCAACAGAGATGCTTGATAGCTGAAGGGACAGCGAGCGGTTTGGAGTATCTGCACAGCAACCACCACGTCCACAGAGATGTTAAAAGGTACGCTTACTCCGTGTTCAGACTGCAGACTGAAGTGGCCCAAATGTGATTTGTATTTTATCAAATGTGACTCAGATCAGATTTTTTCATGAAAGGTGTTAACGGCACAAATCACATGGAATCTGATCTTTTCAATTCACAGGACGGATTTTTTGCAATCTGATCTATGTGTCGAATCATGCTCATGTCACTTTAGGACCATGACCTGTGCACACTGGAATCTGATATGGACCACATTTAATAAGTAATGTGAACAGCCAAACAAAACAAAAAAACATCATCAGTGGTTGCACGCTAAGACTTGCAGTGTGAATGTAGCCAAATCGAGGTCTTTAATCATTAACAATGCTCTTTAAATGATCTTTAGAGGAATAGTTCAACATTTTGTGAAATATACGTAGGTATTCACTCTCTATACCACTCTGAGACCCCATTTACACCTCGTCACTTACTGCATGTTTGGTGGATGAGATAGCTATCTGATTTACAAAAAACTAAGTGTAAATGTATCCAAGAAGCATTCAAGATGGATTTAAATCTGATTGCCACCTCAAACCACATCTCAGGTATGTTAAAACATATGAAGCTGCAGCCAGTAGCTAGTTAGCTGAGCTGAGCATAAAGATTGGAAACAGGTTTGGTATTGTTCGTTGTTCATTTTTACAGTTCTGCTTTTGGACTGATGAAACAAATATGATATAATTAGTGAGTAATTAGTTAATTAGTGAACCTAGCTGTCCCACCCTCCCCATTTCCTATGTTAACTGATGTCATGAACCTGCTCACAGTTCATGACAAAGAAGGGAGACCACACATACAATTTATGTGTTGAAGGCAAAAATAAATGTAATTAAACAATATTCACACTAAACAAAGTATACAAGATATATGTACATCAGTACAGTATTGTCAGTAGTGTAGTGTAGTGTGTGTGTGGACATGGCGGAAGTGTTGTGTATGGAAAAAGGTAATTCATTAATCAACCCAAAGACAGCAACAAACCCAGGATCTGCTGGCTGGAAGGAGGGAGAAACAACAAACTGAGCAACCTCTTATAAAGCCTAGTAATCAGAGATGAACCAGGTGTAGCCCATCTAATGGCCACACCCCTGCCACTTTGTCTCAGCAAGACAGTGAATAAGCAAATTTCCCAAAATGTTGACTCAGGCAGGAAGAACCTATGAATCAGATATGCTTGACTCACTGTGCTCACAATCTTTTTGTCTTATTAGTGCAAATATCCTGTTAGATGAAAAATTTGTGGCGAAGATCTCAGACTTTGGGCTGACGAGAGCATCGGCCAAGAGGACATCAACTACCATGATGACGGAGAAGATTGTGGGTACCCGTGCATACATGGCACCTGAGGCGCTAAGAGGAGAGATCACATCAAAATCTGATGTCTTCAGCTTCGGAGTGGTAGGCTTTCTGCAGACACACATGCACCCAGAAACACAGGCACACGCAGATCAGGATATTATGTCAGGAAAGGAGAAACTGCAACTGTAATGTAAATAAAACATGACTCAGCAGTTTACTTGAGTGCAAGGTTCTCCCGAACTACTGACACATACATAACTGCAGGACATAAACATTATAGTATACATTTCTTCCCATTTGTGAAAAAGGAGCTCTATTTTACGTATCATCTGTCATTATTTCTTACTAAAACTTCTGAATCGGTTAAGGGGCACAGCTGTACTGTATTAGCAGCTATAAATGTCAAACATATTATCCGCTGTCTGACATTGGTTGAATGATTTATGGGATCAGGGCTGTATAAAACTGCCTGACCTTTAATATAGTGCAGTATGTACTGTGTGTATATGTCTTATTAGTACAGCTGTGGAAACACTACGGTGTCTGTGAAGCTGCCTGGCACATGGTGGAGTAATAAAGGTTTTCTGTCGTCCGGAGCCATGCGATTAACCCCATCTTCCTGCCATCTACAGGTGTTGTTAGAAATATTGTCTGGACTCCCGCCAGCCGATGAAAACCGTGAGCCACAGTTCTTGGTAAGCAGCACAAAAGAGGCTTTCACTGTGTATCTATCAAGCTGCAGTTTGCGATTACAGCTTATTAAAGACTTTACATTTAATTAATAATGGCACCCTATCAGTTAGCAGTCATTAAAAGTAATTGAAAGGATTTGAGCCGGTTTCACCTGTTCAAAAAAAGTTCCTCCAACATGATAAAAAGCAGTATTTTCCTCAAAACATGTTCATTGCTGTCTTCAGTCGTATTTATCGTGATTTTCCTTCCCAGATGGAGATGAGGTATGATATAGAAGATGAAGACGAGGAGCTGACTTTAGAGGACTTCCTGGACAAAAAGATGGGAGACTTGGGGCTGAGCCAGGTGGAGAGTGTCTACTCTTTGGCCTGTAACTGCCTCCTCGAGAGGAAAAATAGACGGCCAGTTATCAAACAGGTACGAGGAGGAAAGACAGATATATAGTTTAAGCTACTGTGTTGGCATGTGCACTGTCATCTTGAGCGAAATATCTGTTATCAGCTCCAGTAGCATTGATACTGTAAGTCTGGAGAGGGAAGCCTCAGTAACAGACGGATGTCATAGTCTGTCAGTCCCATATAATTATACTGAAGATGCAAATCTTTAAAAAATAAACAGATACATAGTTTCATTTTGTGAAAGCCTCAGTAATTACGTATAACAGCTGGGTACTGTAGGTTTTTGCTAATGTTACTAAAAAACAAAAGCAAGTAGTGCATTTGTTTGGGACTGTTTTTGGCTGCAGATGTGGTGCACCTTTGAGTGTTTACAGAAGCGGGATGGTATATGATGGATCAACTTGAAATAAACTACAGTGCCCGAGTTCATCAGAATAAAGGAAACTGTTGCCTAGTGCAACAGAGTGGCTCATTTATGTAATTTTAATAATGTTTGGATAACAATTGAGGTTTATGACAGGAATGGTGTTTGTTAGGCTAACATTTCTTCATTACTAATGTTTCGACACTATTGTGTCTTCACAGTAGTGTCTGTTTGCACAATGAATGGCTGTGAGTTGATCAGTGTGCTCCAGTCCTCCTTTGTTCTCTGCAGTTTGACTTTGGATTTGCTGCAGCTTTGATTAAATCACACGTTAATGTTTCCTGTATGTAAATGATGAAATAAAAACAAAAAAGGTTCATATATTTTTATATGTAGGCCATCTATTTTAGTTATTAACATGAATATCTATCCCAACAGGTCCTCTTGGAGCTTAGAGGAGTTGTGAAGAGCATTTCACTGGATTTTAAAGCATAGTAGTGAAGCATAGCATCCCAGAGAAGATTTGTGAGCCGGCTCCAGTTATAGTGCACACACAAGTACATTTCCTTCTCAAAAGGAGTATCAAACAATTGAATATTGCTTGATGACTGTGACTGACAAAAGTATTTTTTTGCAACAATATTTTGTACTGATGACATACTATATTTTTGGTACGAAGCATGTAGCTTAGTTCTTACAGTTAAGGCTGTTATGTCAGGGGATTTGATACCTTGAAAAGATTGTAAGGCTTTTTTTTTTTGCCAGTGTTTCTATCTTGTATTTATTGTAAAGGACAGTTGAAGAAATAAAGTGAATGAAACAGAATATGTATGATTTAAATATTTTATTTTTCTTCTTTAAAAGAAAGATTTGTAAGAAAACAAATAAGACCAAACATGTTTTTTTTTTCTCTATTATAATGACACTGTATGAATATAAAGGGATTTCCCTTTAAACATGAGGTGAGCTTAGTAGTTTGCCTAATATTAATCAGTAGATCAGTGGATGTGGCAACATTTGAATCAAGGTACTTAATAGTATTCCCTTTCCTATCCGGTTGCTTGGGATCCCTCTTGTATGGGAACCAGCTAAGGTTGAGTAGCTTCCTTCTCAGTGAAATATGAGATGTATTGACGTAATATTTCTGGAAGCCCCTGTTCTTTCCACTGTGATCCTCACCGACACTGACAATCACCAGAACAGACCAGACTGTTTCTTAATCATAGAGCATCACACAGCTACAATATGTACATTTACAGCACTTGCATAGAAAAATAAGTTTCTCAGCAGATGATTTTTCATGTAAACCACAGTTATATCAAAAAAGAAGTCAATTTCCAATATAAAATGCACTGTTAAAACGAATCAATAGACACAATTGGGATAATTATATCTTTTCTGCTTTGGAGCACCTTGTTGTGCAAACAGTAGGAGACAAATGTTCAACACAATAGACACAAAAAAACATTAATTGACACAGACTTAAGGAATGCAAGTTAAGAATTTGAGCATGTGAACTAAAAATGGGGGAATTTTATCATATTGGCGCAAGTTCACATTTAGTCACTAACATTTCTAAGGTCTCAGAACTGGCAAGAATGTAAAAACCTCAAGTTTGACTTTGCTTGGGCCCCTTTGAATCATTGTAAGTTATTTGTGACTTTACTAACATACATAAATATGCTTCCATTTGGCAAGCTACAAATGGAAACTCTGAAGTGTGTCATTGCTCAGTTGTCCTTGGCGTGCATAGTTGGGTCTCTGGTGAACTTTGTGGGAATTTTAAAGTTGTTGTCTTATTCTTTTAAACAAGCGTGTCAAATATGATTCCCCCCCCCCCCATCAAAGAAATGTTCCACTGTGGAACGTGCTCTGGATGGAGGTGGTGGCGGGGTGCTGAGGTCTGTTTAATCTTCCTCCTCTTTCCCTGCTGGTGGTCGGGTAATGCGGCGCCCACCCTTCTTCCCAGCAGGGCCTTTGGGCTTGGCGAAGGCCTGCTTGTGTGCATGCTGCTTGGGATGCACCTCCTCGTACAGGAAATCGCTGGTCAGTTCATCGCCATTGTCAATCTCCAACTGGGAAATAGACAAAAAACTATGAGCAGATGGCCTGCAGAATCCCCTCCAACTCACACTCTCAGAGCTATATGTGGTGTTTTTGGTAAATAAGGTTCTACCTTTTTGATGTCCATCTGTTACAAATGTCATTTTAAACTTTGTACGAACCACAATAGACATGTTACCTCCCATAGTAGTAAAGGCTTTTGTAATTTCACATTAGAGATTTCTGTCTTGTTTTCTTACCACTGATTTCAACAGAGCAGGGCCCATTTGGAAGAAGGTTATGTTGTGTACTTTTGTCAGAAAATGGTGTAATAAATGCCTGTTATCATACTCCACAGCTAAAGGAGATGTATTCAAATTGGTAGTCTTGTTTCGAGAATCAGTTTAAAACACAAATCTTTTAAGGTTCCATCAAATATGACAGAAAAAAGCAACACATTATCAAAATTTAACCAGCTAATTTTTGGCATTTTTGCTTTAAAAAATACATTCTCAAAATAGTTGACAATTAATCTTCTGTCAACTAATTGTTGGAGCTCTACACCAAACCACACACACATAATTCTCTTAATACGTTATACCTAATAGTTTTTTCTGATCTTCAGATTGTTATTTATTTAGTTATGAATATTCAATATTTTGGAGAAATACCCAACATTTAAAAAGTTTTCAGGGGCTTAAGTCTGTGACAAAACAAGATCGTTATGCGGTTGACCACAGTCTTTCATGGTGACGGATCATTTCTTACCTTTTTCTCAATCTCAATACCGAGATTGTTTTCCACCATGTCCACCAAGGGATTTTTGCAACTGGAATACAGCATCCTCTCTCGGATGCTACACTTGTACCCGGGCATAGAATAAATGAAGACTACAAAGAGAACAAAAAAAGACAATGAGAGGAGTGGACACAAAGTATCAGAGCAACATAAAAAAACACTATAGAAATAATAGAAGGTGTGTCTGTTCATGATAACCTGTTCTATCTGAATGTGAATATCATGAATGCTTTTACCTGTGGACTCTAAGTAATCGCCTTCGTGGGAATGTTTGTAGAGGAAGAAGTGGTAACGTGCAGATTCTTTAGGAATTCTCATTGGCAGGTCTTTCAGCTCTGTTGGCTCAGTGCCGCACAACCGAATCAGCTCCTGTTCGGCGTCTACTTGCTGTTGACAGAGGAAATGGAAATTCACCCTCAAGGATATTGACGTGTGCTTTTGACTGGAAAGTTCCTGCTTTGAATCCCAAACCAATTTGTGAAAATTTGGGTGGGGAGAGTGAATAACAAACCATCTCCCGTCCCCTCTCAGGTGAGTGAAACATTCACTCAGCAGTTGCTGGTGTACTGGATTAAACCCTCAATGGATAAATAGAACAGAGCATAATGCTTCTTTTTCTTTTTTAAATAAAAAGCTTTTAGGATAAAAAGGGAACTGAGATAAAGCAGCAACAGTGTCACAATTATTCCTTTGTACTTTGCTCTGATCCGATCTTGTCACACGAACCCTTTGAATTTCAATGAGAAGAACAAAGGCTTTTTGGGCTAAATGAGTAACTCATTGTGTCGGCCAGTAAACAACTCCTGACCAAAGACATCTGTATCTCTCTCAAACAATGTATGTTGAAACACAGACGGTTGATTCGCTTATTCGAAAACACGACTGATCGAGCAAAGGTCACCCTCGGACTAATGATTTGCTCTTAAGGACTCACCAGCTGTACGTAATTGATCTTTTTGTCCCTATAACGTTCAAGTGCTGCAACAGCGTCTTTGTGAATAGGGAAGGCCACTCCCTGCAGAGTCTGCTGCTTGGTGTCCACACTGATGTCCGTCTGCACCTGAACACACCACAAACACAAAAGGCTCTTTAGCTTTTTATTGTTACATCCTGGTTAGTATGATAAAGCTGCAATAAACAAAAAGGTTATGGTAGTGAGGTAACTGATAAAGGCTGATCAGTGCATTATTTAGCAAATATTTCATTTGTCTTCAAATAACAAATGGGTGGTATTTACATGAGTATATTCAAAAAGTTAGTTCTTTATTAATAGTCATTTGTATGCAGAAATATGCTCCAACACCCATATAAATGAGTGAATCTACAAGGGAGCATGTGGTTTCTAACACACTCTTGACTTGATTGTGTTCACAGGAATGTATTTACACACACACACACACACACACACACACACACACACACACACACACACACACACACACACACACACACACACACACACACACACACACACACACACACACACACACACACACACACACACACACACCTCCAGATGCCACATGACCACATGCTGGTGACATTGTGTCATCATGCTGACTAACACAAGTTATGCAGAGCACACATTTTACTGGTCTTTAAATTCAATTGTATGAGGGCTCGAATCAACGCTCTGTCGGTTTCCACTCGTGATATTGGTGTCATAATGACTTGCGGAGAAGAGAATTAATATTCTTCATTTTCAGAAAGTAAAAAGGTTTACAAGTGCAACAAGCAGCTTGAATTCTGGAGCATGATAATTGCAAATGAGGTGCTTGTATCGGAAGTGACAAGGCGCCTCCGTGAAATCACACAGAAAACTGGAAATGCTGAGGGGATTACACTGATGGATTGCATCTATTTTTAGAGCCTTGTTCCCACAAAATGAAATGCCGTGCAAACATGATTGAGCCTCCGATGCGGTTACCTCGCATACAAAAAAGGATTGTGGGTCTTTTATCCATCTGCTTAGTAAAAGGCAGGCAGTCTCCAACGCACAGCAATGATAAAAATTTCAAAGCCTCTTTTTTCATTCAGGCGGTACAGATTAATGGTATATTATCTTCCTTCAACAGCTGGCCGAGTAGGACAAGCACAAACCTTTACTTCCCATTTGCTCTGCTGCTTTTAATTGACCATACTTTGGAGAGGGACCGCACTCGTCAGAGCACTTCCATATATGGTAAGAAATACAGTTCTTGTTTATGTGGCAGACAGGGAGAGCAGCAGTTAGAAAAGGTTGCTTCTCAGAAAAGAAGAACTGTTCATTTGGGTTAATTTATAGGAACAGTCCCCCCAAAGTCTGAAAACTGAGACTTCAAATGCTGCTTCTTTGTTTTTTTTGTTTTTTTTACTTTCTGTCTGGTGGAGCCTTTCAGCCACAGCCCTAAAGCCCTTCACATCCGCAGTGTAAACAGTGCTGGCGTCATCCGCAGCGTGCACTGGATATCACATTACAGTATTTCTTCATCTTATCACTGCAAACAACATAGGCAAAGCACAATGATGCAGCTCACCTGTGCTCCATGCCGAATCACTGCCAAGTGTTAAAGCTGCAGAACATTCACATTTGCATACAGCTCTTTCAGCATGGAAATATTTGATCTGAACACCCATAGAGTTCTTCTTTAACCATTTAGTTGCTCGAACTGAATGGGGTTTATGATTGTAAACAATATTTATTTATAGAACTATGGCTATGTGAGCTGTATAAGCCTAATAGATTCGTCTCTGCCAACATCCTGGTTTAATGCATCAGCGTCTTTGCGCTGTGTTGATTCTGCCAGGCAAGCATATGCACACTTGCACTGCTGCTGACCTTGTGCTGTTTGGAAGGCTGCATCGCTGGCCCTCATTGATACTCCACACCATTTCTCCTGGGACTTACATCTCACACACAGGAGATGTGATTAGGAGGAATATTGCTGTGAGCTGAGGTAAGCTATTTTTTCCCCCGCCGAAGCTACAAGTGTGTGATGTAGTGTCATCCCTTTTCAGAACTGAAACAGAGAACAAGCCTAATCCACGCCCACTTCAGAGCAGACTCAAGCAGTCTCTCTCAGTGCTATTTGTATACACAAGCACTGTGATGTACATGATTTCCTCTAAGATGATCTCAAAGGAAAATGATGGCCAACGAATGACCTAAGTATAACATGTCTGCAATTGTGTGTTTGTACCGAATTCAGTTTAATCTGCCTCAGTTCCTCTTCTGCAGCGGTGAGGGGCAGGGGAGCAGCCTGCGAGGTCAGATATTTCCTGTATCCACTGAGATTCAGATCATCCTGGGGGGGCCAAAAAAAGCACAGTCACTAATCATATAGCAATATAATCTTACTCACCAATACATCATTGCTCATATCAGTTGCCATATAGACAACTGATACAAGTCTGACACATAAATTGATGAAGTCGGGGTTTCTGAATGTTCCAACTGAAGCCTGAGTGCATAAAAGAGCTGTTCACATCACTTCAAGTGTTGTTGTTGTAAGACCAACCTTCATGGTAGCAAAGATCTCATCCTTGATGTGCCCGCCTCCAAACTCTTTCTTCAGTGTGGCTCTGGTAGCAGCGTATAACATTTTATGTCGCACCTGTTGAGAACATGAAGGAATGTCAGAAGTCTTGATTGTTCAAAAGATATTTTTTCCTGATAAGTGTTTTTTGTTATATTATTTTTGTCATTATGTGACATCATTTATTGTAAAGATGGGTCTATATCTGGCACCTTCTGATCTGTAATTTTATCTATTTATCTTTTCCATCTAACAAGAGTGTTGAATGCACTTCCTCCCTTCTACTATCTACCTTTTTCAAAGTCCCCATCACTATGTGAAACAACAACAAAAAACAACCACCTTCGACATAGCAACCTACACAGTGAAAACAGTAAGTTAACGCAACCTGGTCGCTAACGTAATCCAGCTAGCTGCGGCTGCCTTTTCTTTTGCAGGGATTTAACCATCTTAATGGCAGGGCTCAAATCTCCATGTGCAACAATGTCCAATAAAACAAGTTATCCACCTGGACACGATATTGCAAGGGCACAGTTAAGACTGCCCAAGACAATTGTGATTGGTTTAAAGGAATACAAACAAGCCAGCCTAATAACGGATGGAGCCAGACCTTTCAATCTTCTTATTCCCTGCCTTTGCTGGTGCACTGCTACATTTCTTACTGTTAACACCTGTACATGGCGCCCCTAGTGGTCATAACTCCATAAGGTAAGGTACCTTAATGCACCCTGAAGCAAATGTGTGATTTTAGACTATACAAAGTTGACTTGACAAGCAATTAAACATTTGTCTGGGGAAAAAAAAACCCTCAAAGCAAATGAAAACATACCTGACCAACTGAGCTGCAGCAGCAGCAGCATGCATTGGTTGTGAAATGATTTTGCAACTTACAGACAAGCCTCAACCTGAAAGCACTGTGCCCTGAGCTTTTTTTTTTTTTGCACTGGTCTCTCCTTGCAACATTCCTCTTTCCACTGTTACAGAAACAACATTTGTATGTATGCTTGTCATGGCTATTTTGAATCGCAGTGACTCTATCCCACAAGTGGGTAATCAAATTTTAGAGGAACAAAATAACCATGAGTTAGGTGTCATGCAAAACACACATTTGCATGACAGGGAAACAGCCCTGCATCATAAGCCTGTATCACCTAAAAGCACTAAGAGGATGAATTTTGAGTCGGATATAGGAGGTTTTGGCTAAGCATGTTATTTGGAAAGCACCGTAATCTACCCATATTTAGATTCCAAGAAGGTTGCTAGGAAATAATGAATGCACTGTTGTACACGGTTATCCAGTAAGCATACAAAGAGTCGCTGCCTTGATGTGGTAACCCCACCCATCTGATACGCAAAGCAGAGGAAGACAAATAGCAAGAAGTATGGAAAGCCATTCATTAAGCCCAGCCTTGGCTTGGTTTTTCTTACAGTAGAGTGGTCCGGTGACCAGGCCAGGAAGATCCACTCGTAGCCCTGGTTGTTAGTGGAGTCCAGCCGGTACAGAATATAGCAGGGCACGTCATCCTCGAGGAGGGGCAGCACTAAGGAGTCATACTCCTGGTCCCACTTCTTTGACGCTTTCTTGGTGGTGCCCAGAGTCAGCTGCTCTGGAAAGCAGATGTGTGCCACAAACATTTCAGCAGTGCGTGGGTTTGTTACTCATGCTGACATTGTAATGTCAGCCGTTTGGGTAGAAGTACAAACAAACTCTGGGGACACTGCTTACCGTCCTCAATGACGATCTTTAAGACTCGATATTGGTCTCCGCTCCTGGCATTGGCAAAGATATCCTTCACATCATTACCCGCTGAGAAAAGACAGAGAAGGGATCAGTCTACTTCTGTTCAACTTGCTTGACAACAACACACTCTTGCTAGGATGACTATTTAAGGCCCTGGATTTTGTCTTGAGGATTTCTGATTTGGCTTTATTTACATACAGCCCAGTATAAAGTATAACACATGTTTTGCCTTTAAACAAACTTAGAGAAAAGGAAACTTGTTGGTTCTATAACTGGGCAACAAGCAACAACAAAAAGAATAAGACTGAACTCACTGTGAAATACTATATTTTTATGATAACCAGGTTGCCTTCAGTTGTACAGCTGTGACTGAAGGCTGTCCACCTTTGACCCAAACCCAGGTACAATAAAACAGGTCTCCAAGTTACATTCAAAGAAGGGTCTTAACAATATTAGCTGCAGTGACTCCTATATTTCCTATAGCAGAAGAAAATAAATAATGAAATGATGCATATAAACATTTTTGCAAAGAGTTTTGTGCATTAAAGATTCACTTTGATTTTTCTCTACAGGTATACTCTAATTTGTCAGGTTTACTCAGAATAGGCTCTTTATTTCAGCTCTGTATGTGAAACACAAGCTTAGAATTATGAGGAATATAAAAACGTTCATATGCTGTAAAACAACCTGACCATTCAGACAGGGGAGAAGATAGCTTATACAGAAACCAGCGTTGAACTAAACATCTGTCTATTATTATCTCACGTAATTTGAACGTTGTTTTATCACAAAACAGACTTAGCAATTCTGCGGTGCTGCTGCCATATTTAAAGGAAGTCACGCCCTACTGAAGCCCGTTTTTATAAAGACACAGTGCAGGTTGGGCTACTGCTATTCACATATTTCTGGGTCCAACACCGGCCGGTCTACCAGGCCAGCAGTTTGTTTAAATGAAGGCGTCGCCCATCCATTCAGAAAGCTGGACTAAGCGTTATGCCGAAAAGCTTAAGGCATAAAAGGCTTTTGTACTATTGTGGGAATAAATACAGAGCAGCCGGGATTTCGGTGGCTCATAAACAGGCCAAAGACTAAGGGATTATGCTTCGTAGTCCTAAAAGTGCCCGAAACAGGGCACCGCGGATCACACACATCACGGTAGCTCAACGCTAGCTAGGAGTGGCTAGCTAACTTGACGCTATCTCCCTCGGTGCAATGAATTGTTGCAGGTACTTAAAGCTCGCCGGGGGGACTCACACACTCACACAGCAAAGTACACAAGGACAGAGACACTGAAAGCAGAGAAATGCATCTACCTTGAATGCCCGTTTGATGTGACATTGTGTCTTTCGTCGGATAAAGGGCTGATGCAGCTGATCAGGCGAAACCAGGGCAGAGAAGCAGGAAGTGGACTACATCGACAAGACCCGCCCCGAGCCTGTCGTCATCAACATCAGAAATCACATGAGTGAAACTATTTATTTAAAAACAGAAATGTAGGGCAGTACAAGAATAATAGTACCAGTGGTAGAGGAAGTATTGGACCATGTGAGAGTTGTTATTGTTATTGTTGTGCATAAACTTGTATGCTGCATTTTAATGCCTGGTCGAAATCATTCAGACGCATAATAATAATAATAATAATAATAATATTAAAATAAAATAATAATAATAAAAATAATAAAATAAAATAAAATAATAAAATAAAATAATAATAATGATAATAAAATCATTAAATTGGATAGGTTCCCGGTTGGACTATCATTAAAATAAATGATTTATTTTGTATTTTTCCATTTATTTTTAGCTTTCTGATCTGTAATAAAGGGGAGATTTCCGCCTCTCAAGGCAGCAGATCTTCATTTGGCGTGCTGCGTGAAACATCTGGAAGCCACGGGGCTTCCTGTCTCTGCTCTCCGTCCCCTCTACATCCTCGTTAAATAAATAAATAAATGAATGAAAAGATTTTACAGCAGCAATATCATCCTGTCACCGGAGGGAATCTCAGATCTGTGTCACAGCAGTAACAGCCAGAGTCATACCGGAAACCATGTGAACCGGTCTTCAAAATAATGCTGTGTCACTAAAAAGATGGTGTTGTTCCAGTGCTACAGATAAAACTGGTATTAAAATGGCATAGTTTATAGTTAACATGATATAACACAATATTCTATTTATAATATAGTAGATACATGTTTATACCCTGCTATGTGTTTTTATTGAGTCTTGTCAATCATTAGTTGTCAAAGAACATTGATTGATTAGAGTATAGCTATCTAATTAGAATTAATAGAAAAATGCTGACATTGTATTGCTAAGTATGAAGTAAGTATTACGTATTGTATGTTTGTATTTAAATGTATGTATGTATTCAATATAAGTATATTTAAAATATATCTTTTTTAAATGTCAATAACCCATTGTAGGATGTCAGTAACTAGAGGTGTGCGGACGATTCATAAATAAGAGGAATTTCCACATTTCAACAACATAAAGCCATTGTATTTATCACAAATAATCCAAACAGCAGTAACCTATGAAATTAATTCAAGTAAAATAAACGAACCCAAACAGAATAATTGCAATGAAATAATAAAAAATAAAAAATAAACAACCACAACAATAATAACAATAATAGTGTATAATATATTTCACTTATTCTAGATTCGTCTATCAATGCCCTTATTTGAAATTAATACAAGTAAAAAAATTAAAATGAAATAATTGCAATGAAGTAGTAGAATAGACAAACAACAACAACAACAATAATTATTATTATAATGTATATTATGTTTCACTTATTCCAGATAATTAATGAAGTAAAACAAACCCAAATAAAATAATTGCATTGAAATAGTAAAAATAAATACATACATATTATATATAATGAACAACAAAAACAACAACAATAATAATCATCATAATAATAATGTATAATATGTAATTATTCCAAATTCCTCCATCAATATAGTTATTTGTGACATTGTGTATAGTCATCATGTTTTACTTTGAAAGGTGTCAGCGGAAGTTGTACAACTAGTACTGAATCTGACTTGACTGCTGGTAAATCAACGTGTTTGGCATTGCGTTGCACTGATGCTATGCGTGCTGTGTGGACCCAGCTATCTCCATCCACTGTACAACAGCAGCAGCGTCCCTTTATCAGCCCAGAAACTGCACCGTCTGGCGGGAACCCGATAACGAAGTACCGCCCGGCAGAGCTAGCCCGCCCGGCGCATGGACGGTCCAGCACAATGGCAGAGGATATGTGGGTGCCTCTGTTGTATACCAACAACAGGTCGCATGGATAATTCCTCCCCAACCCTTCCGTATCATCTCGTGTTTGGGATGATTAGAGCGCCGCTGTCGGCTTGATGTGGCAGGGGAGCCGTGCGGGAGCGGGCTTCTCGTCCCGGCTGTCGACAGCGAGGGAAAACGGTGTGGACCAGGTGCGTTGATGACGGGGAATTACCGCACGTTCTCAAATAACACCGAGGTGCGGGGCAGGTAGGACTCACACGGCATTCCCACATCCTTCATGGTGCATCGACATATAAATTGTATAATCAGATAATTCCTGTAAAGCTTGTCGTGTTCTCCCCGAGATTCGTGGTGGTTGGGTGGTGTGATATTTGGCATTATGGCTACTGTGACATTAAAGGGGATGTGTGGTCACAGACCTGTGCTCTTAACAAGGCAGTCCCCTCAGAAATTGGTACTATGGGGGGGGGGCTTTCTTGTTTATTTCCTGTAGCACTTAAGACACTGCTCATATTGTTCAGTACAAATGTAATTGTTATGGTTTGGAGGACAGGCAGGGAGTTTAGAGGATGTGCCATGAGCAGGATGGGAAGGGTGATGATAAAGATATCACAGATCTTCAACTATAGCTTTCATTGGTTTTCCAATATTCTCTAAGTTATATCCCATTAACATATGTCATACTGTATTAACCCAGGCGAATGGGTTCTTTCTGTGTACTGTTTGCATGTTCTCCTCCTGTTTCCATGTGTGTCCTTTGGGTCTTCTGCATGCCAGGGACTCTCCTGCCATCAGGCGCCGGGATAAAGACACAGTCTGCATTTTACCAGGATGATGAAGCGATTCTACCTTCGAGTAGTGGAATCACTGGCTTAAGGTGGCACATAATGACAAGACAACATGTTGCTGGTGAAATTTAATAGCCACATGGGTGGTTTCACTGTGTGCAGCTCTATTCTTGAAGCCATTACATCGTTCCAAATTCCCACCGTGGAGTATTTTAGGAAACGGTGTCAAAGCTGGGAAACGGCTTGAGAAGTCCAGTCCAGCAAAGTCAGAACCCTCACAGGGGAGGGGGCTTAGACTGGGGGGGGGTTCATGGGTGAGTGGCTATAGTCAGGTTTAAAAATACAGCAGGGGGGACTGTCGGGAAGTTACTCAAGCGCTGCTTGGCAGGTGTTCCAGAGCAAAGCATCAGTGTAATGCTGCCACAGTATTTTGAGGGGGGCCACAGTGCAGACAGGCTGAGAGGATAAGCCTTCCAAAAGCCAGCGCTTTACAGCTAAGCACTTCAAGATTTTTCCACCTGCAGGTACAACAATTACACATCACCTTGTTTCCGCTCACTGTCAAAGCTTAAACTTCAGTCTTTTGAACAGCAGCTTCTTGGTTGAATCGTGAGGTCAGTTAACTAATGAACTTACCAATATGTTTTCATGCAGCTGATTTTTTTGCTGTGTTGGCATCACTAACCAGGTGGATCAAGAACCTCAGTGTTTGTGTGATGGGAAAGCTTGTCTTTGGGCTTTTAGGTGTGTTATTGGCATTTCTGCTAAACTATTGGAGTTGTCTGAATTTAGCATAATCCCAATCTGTACCAAACCTCAGTCATACTCCAACCACTAATCTCAGTCTGAGTGATGTTTTCACTCTAATCTGTCCTGCTGAAATTCAGTTTAATGTAATCTGACTGAAAGAAGCTCTCTCTCTCTCTCTCTCTCTCTCTCTCTCTCTCTCTCTCTCTCTCTCTCTCTCTCTCTCCCTCCCCGACTCCCAGGTGTAGTGTGGCTGGGGGGCTCAGCAGGATGGAAATAGATGCCCGTTTTCGCTACTATTTCCAGCACCCATGGTCACGTCTCATCGTGGCCTATCTCGTCACCTTCTTCAATTTCCTCGTCTTCGCCGAGGACCCCGTTTCCCACAGCCAGACGGAGGCCCACATGATCGTGGTGGGAAACTGCTTCTCCTTCCTGTTCAACAAGTACCCGGGCCTCGGATGGAACATCCTCAAAGTAGTGTGCTGGATACTGGCCATTATCACTGGCCTGTTAGCTGGGAAGTTTATATTCCACCGCCAGCTCTTTGGTAAGTCATGCGCACAATAATGCACTGGAATGTGCAGAGTAATGGCTTTACTGAGGGAGGGAACCATCCTCCTCAGTTGTTTTTGTTGTGGCACCTTGCACTCATGCTCCACTTTTTTTGTGAATAATAATCTAATGAAAGGCCATTTTCATGTCTTTGCAATCAGCTCTCATCTGTGCTCCTGCTTCCATCTTTTCTTTTCTGCCTTTCCTCTCACTTATCATCAGATCTGGGCCAAACAGTGTTTGCAAATCTCTACACTCTGTACTCTCTGGTAGTACTCAACTACCAATTATTTTTAATAAGTCGATTAATCTTCTGATTATTGTCTTTGATTAATTCATTAGCCTTTTTTTTTTAAATGCTTGTTTTGTTGGAGCAACACTCCAAAACTTAAAAAATATTCAGTCACAAAAGAAAAGGTGAAACTTAATTTTGCTAAAATTGCTAATCATTTCAGCTCAAGATACAAGTAGATTGGTCAGGTTACTGCAACAGTTGTAGGCAAGACTGTACATCAGAGATCTGTGTGATAAATTCTGCTAAATATACATGCTGTATCGATGCATTATATTTTAATGCGAAAAACGTTTATAACATCTTGGCATATAATCGAATTATTACTTTGTCTAATGCACTTTTATGGACCTCTTCCTGCTTGTATCTGATTGTGGTTCTCAACCTTTTTGGCTTGTAACCCATTATAAAGATGCACGACCTACTCACACCCACTCTTCCCTTGCAGGCTGCATATGCAGAGTGAACAAACAACAAACAAACCAAAAACACAAGACAAAAAAAACTTTTTCAATCTGTTTATTTAAAGGAGATTAAATAAAAATATAAATAAAATAAGTGAAATGATAGACAATAATAAATATGTATATGTATAGGAGTATAAATATATTTTAATTACCCAATATATCTTTTTCAAGGCAGACATTTTGAAATGTCACAGCAGGTTAAACATAAGTCTAAATAATAACATTAAAAGAGAACTCCACTCGATTTGCATAACATTGTCACTCATGATGGGCAGAAAAGGGATCAAAACTGAACCACAGATATTGTCTTTGTTTCCCACATGTTCTTCTTCCTTGTAAAAACCCTGACACCTACATTACCCAGAATGCAACTCAACCTGAGCAAGCTACAGAGGTCTGTTCACTTCACTTCTTTCTAACTTGCACACCTCCAGATTTTTTTCATTTTCAAACTTGTAGTCTTCAGCCTTTTTCAGAATTTGCGTGGCCACAAATGACTTTATACAGCTTTTTTTTTCACAGTGGAGTCCTTGTTAAATAATGGCCACATTGTATTTTGGTGTGTCAGCTTCAGTATTGTGCGTGTTGGCTCACTGAAAAGGCTCTGCTACACTAAATGGAACAGAGCATTAATTAGTATCATTGTCTATGTCATATCAAAACGGCTGCTGTTTAAAAGGTCTATTGGACTGGCTTACGGGGACACTTAAATGGAACTCAGCCATCGCTTATGATATTAGTTGCATCTGTGCTTTTCCTACTATGACGTGTCAGAACGTCTGCAGTGACAGTGGCCTGTTGATTTGTAACAGGCTTCAATAATGGGTCCGTATCATTTAACTGTTCCACAAAGACATGTCAGTGAGCAAACAGGCATACTGGCAGGACTCTGATACCCCTAAATGGAATACAGCCATTGTTACTGAATATTTTTAATTAGGTTTATGCTTTTCCTGTAAAGACAGGTTGAGAACCTCTGCAACACAACATGCATCACCGCCGTATGCTGTTTGAACTTGGTACCATCTCACTTCCTTCACCTTTCACACCTCCTCGATGCATTTCCTCTGCTTTTTCACCCACTCGCCATCATTCTCACCTCCTCTGACAACCTCTACCTCCTCTCTCTTGTCGCCCTGTTGCCATATTGTCCCTTTCATTTTCCGCTCATAGAGGCCGTGACTCCAATCTCATCAGCCCTTGATTTGTTTTCGTGCAGCAGTTCATAGCGCTTCCTATTCAACTCACACATTTCATTTCCTACTCACTTCATAAGTCACTTATGCCCAGATATTATTGGCCACCCTGGCTTATCTTCTTGGGATGAACCATTAATGACTATAATTGTAAGAGAGAGAGAGAGAGAGAGAGAGAGAGAGAGAGAGAGAGAGAGAGAGAGAGAGAGAGAGAGAGAGAGAGAGAGAGAGAGAGAGAGAGAGGGAGTACTCTGAGTGATCATCTTCTCTGAGCATAAATTGAAAGCCAAGAGTGTGTGATGACATGATGCTCTCTGCAAATACAGAATCCTGTCTAAGATGGGAAATGGAAAATGGCTTTGAGGATTGTGGTTTTCCTGTACACGGTGGACAGTTAGTGGATCAGATAATATCAGTTGTTCTATCTTCTCAAGTTGCAATCCTTTAATTGGATATAGTGTTTCCTTACTTCAGCTCTATGATAAAGTTTCTGTCCGTTTCAGTCAGGATCCCACACAAGGTTACTTGATGCTGGCTCCTGCAAGATTTCTAAGGTTGAGAATTATATAAATATAAAAAGAAAAACATTTTAATGAAATATGATTTCTTGAGAGATTTGACCTAACTCATATCGATCCGTTAAATATGAAGCTAGAATCAGGGTGTGCTTAGCTTAGCTTAGCATAAAGACTGGAAGAAGGGGGGGAAGTTAGCCTGGCTACTGCCTACCAGCACTTCTAAGTTTTACTAGTAACAGATTGTATCTTGTTTGTTTAATCTTGACCTAAACAGAATGTAAACATGAAGTTGTCATGGGGAGTTAGGTGGAGTGACTTCCTGGAGTCTTGACTGGTTGCCTGGCAAGCTCATGGTGACGACAGGGCTAAGTGACTAAAAACTAAGATTAGCTTTGTTTATGCTAAAATGAGCTAATTACCTGCTGGCTCTACAGTTATCATCCAAACACGAGAGTGATATCTGTCTTCCCATCTAGCTCTTGGCAACATAGCAAATGAGTGCATTTTCCAAAATGCCAGACTTTTCCTTAAGATACCTCCCTCTACAATTTCTGCGTCCACTCCAGTAAAGTTGGGATGGATTGAAATGTATTTGCAAAAAATACATTTTAAAATTCAAAATTTAAAATCTGTGTTACCCCCACTGTTCATGCTGCGAACAATTTTCATAGGGATCAGATGAAAACTTTTCATAGTGAGGTCAGTGGATTATCCAACGTAACCAGGACACCAATCTCAGAGACCAATAACTCAAAAAATTGGGAAATAAAACCACAATTATCTGCATGACAAGTAACTTATAGAGCTTAGCGAGGACATGTTTTTTTTTAGTACTGACCTTTTTATTGTCAATATTGTGCAAGCTGAAGAATCTCAATGTATTAGTACACTAGATTCTTTTCATTTGCATGACTCATAATAGTGAAGTAGGTGCTCGTGTTCTCGTGTGTGTGTGTGTGTGTGTGTGTGTGTGTGTGTGTACTTTTGAGAGTTGAGCATGTGAGAAAAGACAGATGAAGAGAATCTGTGGAAGGGAGGAAAAGAGAGGCTGGTGTTGATAGTTGGAGAGGCGGGACGAGACGTGCCCTGCGCAACATTTCAGTAAAGCAGTTATGTAATCACAATCCAGGTGGGGCGTAAGAGCTGTACTCTAAAACCATGCCTACTGTAAAATACATAATCTATTATTGATCTGTCACATAGGCCCACATGGCCCACCTACTGCACATCATGATGTCTCTGCTAAAGCCCTGCAGATCTCTTGCTGCTCTCTGATATGTAGGCGAGCAGTGGCAACACTTCTGGATAGAAACACAGTCCATGCAAAGGTTTGAGTACCTGAAAACACTCTTTGGGAATAATCTGACTGTGGAAAGCGTTTTCCGCAGTCACAATTTGAGAAGGCGTTTTTTCCGATGCCCTTTCACAAATATAATACCTTGCGTAACTGGAGTCATTTTGAAGCTCGTGTTTTCAGCTATGCTTGACTTTGAATCAGCTTGTCACAAACCTGGAACAGACATTGTTTTTGACTGCTGACACATCACCTGCATCATTTATCATTTATAATTTATAATGGCCTAGAAAAACATTTTCACAGAGAATTACTCTTCCTCCTCCTTCTAGCGATTTTAGCGTTTTCTTTTCTCTTGTTTTTGCCACAGTATTTATCCTATCAAAAACCCACTTAAATATTAATCCAGTTGTCGCTTAAAAAGCTCTTTTGCAATCCGTAATTCAGTTATGTTTTACGTCATGGTGCTATTTAAAGTAGGCAGAGGTGCACAGTATTGTTCTCTGTTTGAGAAGACCGGTATAAACTCTCAATGATGAATAGCTTGTGACAGATTATGTGATTGAAGACTACATTGGGGTTCAAGGAACAACCTATGCTGTTCCATTCAGCCACTCAAGGCTATATGTGCTCTCTAATGGAATGGGCGGTAGCCAATGACTTCTGGTCATTCAGCAGGAGACTCGCTGTCATTATGTATTTGTATTAAATCTTAGGTCACAGGGTTTGTGAGCTGTCTATTTTAGTTTGAGTGTGGTTTGTTTGCATTCAGACACGGATTAGATTAAGCCACCTTTTTAAATTTTAAGACAGAGGCTCCTCTGGGCTGATCGTGGTCAAGGGCTTTTCTGTTTGCTTTGCGAGCTTTCACTTACGAATAATTATTAACCAAGAATTTGAAGAAAAGGTTATTTGCTGTCACTTTGAAAGGAAGCCCAGTGTAAACACTATTAGATCCCTCATGGGAATCGTACAAAAAATGTGCTTTTTGTAAAAGGCATTTGGCTCACAAAGTAAAGACTAGTAGACTTAGCCATTAGGCTTAATTTGACAGAGTCTAAAAGTCAGGCTGTAAGACAAGTCAATAATTCACAAGCGAAAACACAAACTCACTCTCTCTCACAAACACACACACACACACACACACACACACACACGCACAATGAGATCACTGACTCAAAGATGGAGATGGATTTTGAGAATACATTTGAGAAATTCATTGATTTAAGATGGCACATGTCAATCTGTTCCATAGTCTAGGAGAAGTGACAGGGAAGGTTGCCTAAACCTCAACTGACAACATCCATGAGAACAACAAAATAAGAGCGCTACACTTCAAATAATGTGGAAATGGAAGATGTGAAATCTTGGACATTCAAACCTATATCTAACCTGCTGTACATCTCAAAGGACCAGTGTGTAGGATTCAGTGGCATCGAGCGGTGTAATTGCTGATTACAAAGCCCTCGCCTCACCCTCTCATTAAACTCGGGTAGATATTATCTAAGATAACAAAAACACAAGGATTATTATTTTCAGGTGATTATACACTAATGATAACATACCTATGAATATTATATCACATTTCTACTAATAGAGACTACGCACTGAACCTGAACTGAACAAAGACTGTTTGCTATCATATTTGTGACATCTTTGTGAAAAGTACACTTACTATTGTAGATTATTTTTGGTATTGTACTGCAGTGACCAGTAATCTCTCTGTGCGGCCGTAAAGATGAATCTTTTAGCAATGAACTGATCATTCAGGATGTCTAAATGTGACAGATTTGGTGTTATTTAAGTTATTTAATATTCATAACAAACGCCTCATACACAACTAGTGTTTCTTTCCACAGTGATGCAGTGCCACAACCCCACAGCACTGAAGCGTTGCCTATCCTATCACGGGCCTACCTTTGCAGTAAATGACTATCTTATGGTCTATCTCCATCATGGGAAAAGTGAAACTGCTTCTCATTTCTCTCTCACGCTGCCTCAGTCCCTAGATTAGCATAATATATTCACCTACCTATCTCCAAGGCTTTGAGACTTCTAAAGATAAATTGAAGGGTAATTTTGAGTCATGTAGAGTGCTGTCCTAACCGCATTAGACCCTACTTTGCATGTTATTACTGACACTTAGATTCAATCAAACACTGACCGTTCACATCCACTTGGATGAGCGTGAACAGCACAAGAAAAGGTGACAGAAATGTGAAAACCTGTATCTGTTAATCACAGAGCTGTTAACACTGGTCTGTGTGTGTGTGTGTGTGTGTGTGTGTGTGTGTGTGTGTGTGTGTGTGTGTGTGTGTGTGTGTGTGTGTGTGTGTGTGTGTGTGTGTGTGTGTGTGTGTGTGTGTGTGTGTGTGTGAGAGAGAGGGTGAGACATGTCATTGGTTGCTATGTTGTTGGAGTGCCTCTCGTCCCCTTTCCCTGATCTTGATGATTGTAGCCTAAAGGAAGCCATCTGGGTTCTGTCAAATATTATTACTGTGCCACGCAAAGGCAGAGATGGCTTATGTACGGTGCTGTGTGACTGCGGGTCAAAGTGCTTGGGGGTGTGTGTGTGTGTGTGTGTGTGTGTGTGTGTGTGTGTGTGTGTGTGTGTGTAGGAGTGGATGGGTGGGTGGCAGGATAAGGGCTCTCTGCATGCTCGTGTGTGTGTCACTGTCGGGTATTTTATTGTCTGTGTATGTCTCTGAGAGTATGTGTTGCTGTTGAGATAGCATTATTATCTGTGTGTATATTCATACTAGTGCCAAAACAATTAGTCTTTTAATATCATTGTAAATTAAATATGTTCCAATTAATACATGTCTCCTGTGCAAGTGCATTTGCGTTATGCGTTTTGTGTGGAGTTTCAAAAGGCTGCAAAAGCAAAAACCACCTCTGTTATGTCTCAACATAACTAATAAATGTCAAAGACAAAAATTCTACCATTGAAAAATGTGACATATAAATATCAATAACATATAAATATGTAACAATATGAAATCAATGGTTTTTGTATTCATTAATACATTCACACTGAACAGTTCTATTTGCATTACTTATTCCATATGTCTAGTCATAATAAGTTAATATAAGGAGGGGTGCAATTAGCCATTATTTTTATCGTTGATTTTTTTATTTTATTTTATTTTTTGCGGGGGTTAAATGATAAAGAATTTAGTTTTAAAATATCATAATATCCCAAAAGCCCCTTGTGGTGTCTTCAAATTTCTGGTTTGGTCCAACCTAAAGCCAAAAGATATGTTACTTACAATAACATAAACAGAATAAGGCAACAAATATTTACATTTGAGAACCAGGGAATGTTCATTTTCTGTTTTGGCATTAAAATGATGTATATTTTTAATTCTCCATCTATTTTTCTGAATACTACACTGTTCTGGTAGCTGCACTGTGTATTGCCAAAGATTGCATAAACAGCACCATGGCCCAGGCTGATCTATACAACTGATCTGCAGTAATCTGCATAATTATCAGCCTCATGACTATTCGGCCTTCAACAACCTTATAGTGCCCTGTAGAGCTGAATGTTTTACACTCTCCATCAATTTATGCCAGTCTCTATTAGCTTGCCTCAGAGGCTGTAAATAATGTATGATCTCTCCGGTGTCAGTGCACTGCTGTGCCCCTGCAGCCGGAATTTATACTTCTGCTATCTTTTGGATGTTGATTTCTTTGATGTATTTCAGGGCAGTATGCATGTCTCTGTGGTTGTGTTATTGTCTGTCTTACAGTAGACATTCCTGCCGGGTTATATTTTTGTTTGTTGTCCAGGTCTGTTTGCTCCAACAGCTGAACTGTAAGAATTAGTTTAAGAATTAAAGCTTCTCTAATCAATGTTTTTTTTATTTTTAAAAATCCTATCACCCACCCCTAATTTAGATTAGAGATTAGAGAATATTTCCCCGGGATTTGGTTGGAACCAAAACGGATCTTTAATGAATGTTAAGAATGGCCTTAAATTCATAGAGTGGCTAGAAACAAACTCCAAATGCATTCTATTGTTGCTCCTTATCCTCCTAGATGAGTAAATGGAGTATGCTAAGACATTCACCATATCAACTTATATATATAATAGGTCATTGTTCTGTTTACCCGTCGTCTTAACGTGTTGCGCTGCCCCCAAGTGGCCAAAATCTCAACTAATGTTGAAGTGCAGTTTGATTCTTATCTGTTCCACAAAAATCATTACACAGAGATACAAGTACAAAATGAAAAGCCATTGACATTTTCCATTCCAAAAATATATTGCAACATTTTGTAGACCTAGAGATCATTTTCCTTTCTCACAAAGACATTATTATTGTGCTGTACTCATGGAGTGAACTTCATGTCCATGTGCTTGCAGGAAAGGCCAAAAAACAAAAAGGTGTTTGCACAGCAGACAAAGACGCAGCAATGATGACAAGAGCTAGCAAACAAAGGAAACCAGCCAAAAAGGAAATTGCCTGTTTACCTGAAATGTATGACTCCTTTGGTCTGAAGCCATAAATAACAAAATGAAATTATCTAACAGGACTACTGGAACAGGTACATTGGTACAGTGGCCCAGTAGCAGGCTCTCTGTGTCTCGCCTCTACTTGCTGCAGTTTCCCTGTGGAGGGAGTTCTGTTGTCACTTCCCACCTCTGATTTATTATCCAGACTCTTAGTTACAGAGGAGCCCAGCTCTGGGGAAGCTAGTGGCTGTAGTGATGGCTATTCCCCAAACCCCCGTGATGCTGCGGCCCAGCAAATGTGTGATGAATGGGGAAGCTATGTGTGTACATGCTAAGATCCAGACAGTGCCATTGCTACTGCTCTCCGCACTCTGGGTTTGTGTTTTCAGGGAGAATGTTCATTAGGATCCCTAAGGAGGTCAGGATTGTTGTTCTGATGCTTCAAATCAAAACAGGATACAGTAGAGCTGCATACTGAAGCCTAAAATAGATTAAAGTACGTGCTCAGAAAGAGTGCCGCTGCCCTAACAGTTTGGACATAATATACGTGAATTGATGACTTGAATACAGAGAGCAATGATTGAGATTGAAAGGCTGTGCTATTGATATCATCAAATCAGTATGGATATGATGGTATCATTAACTGTGTGACAAAACATGTGCCATGTTTTGGTTTTTCAAGGCCTGGTGTTTACTGCATTCATTGTTCATTTTGATCACATTTTCCATGTGCACTGTCCAGTTCACTGCACATTGTCAATTTGAACAGGAAGTGTTGGCGGGTGTTTTCTTGCAGGTTTTGATAAGACTATAACGGGTGTTAATACCACCAGTGCTGCAAAGAAGTAATAGGATGGCATATTCATTCACCTGTGCTTTTTGTTGGTTATGATACAGCTGCTGAGGTCACCTAAACTGCACATACTCTTAATCAGGTTGAGATCTGGTGACTGCAAAATTATTTTTTCATATTGACCATTCAGTTACCCCTTGTGACTTGTATGGAAACATCTGCATTTGTTATTGTTACTTGAAGACGAAAAGCAGTGCACCATTATTCAGGTTTTGATTAAATTTGTCAGCTGTCTATACGTGATCAGCAAAACAAATTATACTTTAGTAAAGAGCTGAAAGGGTCGGACGATTTATTAATTACAGAAAATTAATGTGCAGATATTTTGACAATCTACTAATTTAAAGTCATTCTCAAAAATCAGCTAGCCAGCTTCTCAAATGTAAGGATTTGATGCCTTCCTGTTTTACATCTTGGTAAATTGAAATCGTCATCAGAATAACTTGATAATGAAAATAGTTGTTGTTTGCAACCCTACTTGTGTGAATGTCTTTTGACAATATCTATCAGTCAGAAGTGGAAGATGTAAAGCACAAATGAGAACGAAACCCCCGTTGCTTTATATTGCTGTAAGAAAAGAAGTCAAGTTTCTTCTTTAATTCCAGTTCCATAATAGTGCAATTTACGCATGCTTTAGGCCAAGATAACCATTTAGGCCAAGGTACCATTAACATCTGCTACTGGCACAGTGTAATAGTGATACAGTTGAGGCAATTTAAGGTAACTAGGCAAAAAAGTCATGCATTGGATTCACCCAATTACACCAACCCTCCTGCTGGCTCTGCAGCACAGTCTCCGGTATCGGGCTCTTTTCAAGGCCAGCAGCTTCCTCTGGAACTGCTCACTAGCCATAATATACAACACTGGGTCCAAGCAGCTACTTACACTGCACATGGCCTCAAAGAACTCATAGGAGGCATACAGGACGTTGGTGTTAGATGGCGTGACCTGGTTATGGATCCTCATGAACACCAGGGTCATGATCATGACGTGGTACGGCACAAAGGAAACCACAAAGACAAGTATGGCAGCAGTGATGAGCCTCAGAGGCTTCCCTCCCGTCCGCTGGGCTCCTCTATGCCTTCTACCCCTTGGGAGACGCCTCAAAACACGAACTGTCATGATGTAAAAAGCCAGCATGCTGGTGAACGGTAGCAGGAAGCCTACTATTGTTCTGATAATGGTGATTGTCTTGATGTAGATAAAAGGGCCTTGGATGTGGTCCATGCACACAGTTACATTTTTTGGTCGCTCAATACCAAAAGTTACAAATAAGTCAGGAATGGAACTCAGGACCAACACGACCCATGTGCATAGTGAGCATAGCTTGGCTTTACCCACATCCCACCAGCGGAGAGAGCTTATAGGGTGCACTGTCCCGACATATCGATCAAAACTAATGAGAGTGAGGAAGTGGATGCTGCCGTATATGTTGATGTTGAACGAGATCTTCCTGAACTGGCAGAAGATCGCTATGTCTTTGAGGTACGGTCTCTGGAAGGTGAAGTAGAGGTTGAAAGGGACAGTGAGGACCCAGGCTGAGTCGCACAGAGCCAGGTTCAACAGGAAAATATTGCTGGTGCTCGAGGTTTTCCTGAAGCAGGTGTAGTTGATTAGAGCTGCTACGTTTCCCAGAATCCCCACAGGAAGGGCAAACATGAAGATAACCAGCAGGATGTAGCAATACCACTTGCCATTGTCAAACTGGCTGCAGAATACTGTTGACTGGTTCAGGAACTCCAGAAACACCTCTGGGATTTAAGGACAGGAGATGCAGTCAGTTTTGTAACTGTATTAGTAATATATTAATATGTGTTGAGAAATAAGAGTTGTCCATCTTTTTAGTACTGCACTTCCATAAAGTTGGAGGGCTTGTGAGAGACATATTGTACAACAGCCTAGTATCCTCAGGAATTACTTCCATATTTGATTCGGCAACTGTGCACTGTGCCCTGTATGTAGTGATGTGCAAAATATACTACAATCTTTCACTATCTATCCACCATAGTTGCTGTATGCAGATATTGCAGAAAGTGAATTTAAATACTTTGGTGTTAATCTGTGGCTCTGCATACTAGTCCAACATTTGTATTTGGAATGAAAAGAATGTTCAAAATCAATGCAGCAGAGACTGACACATCCTGACCTTTTAGTTCCTAGTATAGGTCAAGATGCAGAAACACAGATTCCTACACTTCCCATAATGCAGTTCAGTAGTGTCTTTTGTTCCACCCTCAATGACGGGTAAATGTATTACAGACATAATGTTTGTAACACACGCTTTCTGTTATAATGTCTCTTGAGTGATTTTCTCAGATCTGTCAAAGCTCCTCTTGAGCCACTGAAGACGTGATGCACAGTACTCCCTGTGACTAGTAAATTGGATAGTTAAAGCATATACCAATTAAGATCTGCCAGGTAAGTTGTCACAGATAATTAAACCAAATTGACTCATAGATACTTTTTAAACCTTCTGGCACTAAATTGATTATCTCATAAGCGACAGATTAAAACATGCATAATGAAATGATTGTTTATGAGCCAGTTCTAATACAACATAAAGGCTACTATTCTGTGTGCTTGACTTGATACACATTAATTCATGGTCTTGCTTATCTTTTTAATAAAACCCATGATCCATTTTCAGGAATTTAAGCTCTATGAAAGACTGGATTTTCTGTTCTATGTGCCATCCGTATTTCCAGTCAAGAGTTTAATCACTACCAGAAAAGTATAGGTTGTTATTTTATTGACTCTGCCGGTAAGCCCTGTTCTCAGAGAGTACTTCAAGTAAGATGTGTTCACCCACTCTCTCCCAGGGCCCTCTATATTTACAGTAGCTGTCTCCATAGTCTCTGGGTGTCACCAGCGTGTCCAGGAAGTGAGTGCGCGATTGTCTGCAGTGAACAATGATACCTAGGGACTGCTGATTTATTACCCCTACTATGTCAGCCTCTGTTTGCACTTAATCAGAGATAATACGTTCATTTTGTTCAGGTGAGCGAGCTTAACAACTTACACATTTCACCTAAATCATGTCACCCTTCCTAACCTTAACTTGTCAGTACCCACCAAAAGGGAAGTTTATGTTCAATTTTGTGATGATGAAGTTTAATGTGTGAAACACACAGGGTTTTTCTAATCACACAGCTACACAGCAAGTAATACTACAAAATAAAGGGTTTTATATAATGTAGACAATATGTAAAACAGACATTACTTACACAACAGTCACAGCAGGAGTAAAATGACTTCAATAAAAGTGTATTAGTCCATTATTGTATCATTAATTATTTGAATGTTTAATATATTTTGTGTAGAATATTGTAACAGTTTGGTCCTAAACCATGCTAAAATGTTTATAGAGGTAGAAAAAAAAGTATTTCAGGTTCAGATTGTACTTGCCTCCTTTAGTCATGTCAGACCTATTGCTGTTGAAGAACGGTGTCATGATGAATGGAGACGGGGATCACATCTCCACTCCTCCTCCTCCAGCAGCTGTGTGCTTCTCTGTCAGGTGCTGCACTGCCTTACCTGTGACACTGTGTGTGTGTGTGTGTGTGTGTGTGTGTGTGTGTGTGTGTGTGTGTGTGTGTGTGTGTGTGTGTGTGTGTGTGTGTGTGTGTGTGTGTGTGTGTGTGTGTGTGTGTGTGTGTGTGTGTGTGTGTGTGTGTTACAGTAAACAGAGGATTAAACAAAACTACTGTCAAAACATTTGAGATACATAATTGCTTATCCACGTGCGCTGCTGCAAGTGTTTATCTGACAGTCTCTGCTATGTTTGTGTTTCTGGCTCCAGGGCCTCTGTTATGTCCTGTGAGTGGATTACTCCTATAAATCTTCCCAGAAGTATTGCATACGATCTCATTATGAGACAGGGAAACCAACGCATAACTATAATGTGGAGTAGTTTGAATCCATTGACTGCCTGAGATAATGTGGACTGAGACTGAAACTGAAACTTTGTTGTGCACTTAAGAATTACTCTGAATTTGAACTAAATAATTTGCCAGTTAATTTGGTACACCTAGTTTGAACTACCACAGTATAATACAGCAGACCTGCAGTAAATCCTACCTTCATGAAGCTTATAAATATTCTGTTTTTGTGTGTTCTTCAGAGGCGTGGATTCAACTGTATGCACTATGGTGCCATTAAATTGTACTGCATTATAGAGAGAAGTGTTTTTCATCTAGCCTCATCTAGACTCTCATTGATATAAATGTGGTGAATGAATAGAAACACCTGTCAGTTTAATGTAATACAATTCAGCGGCACCACAAACTGCAGCTTCCAAAGTGACCATATAGTCGAATTAACACTCCTCTGCAATGAAACCTGAACATTACGTTTTATTTAGGTGTACCCAATAAACTGGGAACTGAGTGTATAAAATGCACTCAAACCCCAGTTTCTTCAGTTGAAATGCTTGTAGTATCACTTTTGTTTTGTCCTGCTTTGTCATGCCACATGTACATAAGCATTTACCCCAGTTAAGACTTAACTGTCAATAATTCTTTGTAAAGTTGAAAGCAGTCTGCTTATTCTAAACTATTGCGTGTAGACTAATCCCTGTATACTGAACTCTATTTGTTATCATTGTTCCTGTTCATTGATAAATTCATTGTTTTTTTGAAGGTATCGTGGAAGTCATTTAGTGTGGTCATTAGCTTTAACCAAAATGGCCAGTTGAGGCTATAGAGTTACAACATTGGAAATAATTTGCAAAACTAGATTTCCTTTTTTAACAAATGCAAATGATCTGGACAACTTGCACTTCAGCCACAGACATGGCATTCAAGGTAATTTAATACAAATGGACACAAGGACACAGTGATAGAGGGACCCTCATAACATAGGACAAGCCCTGCTTATAAAGAAAGATACAGCAGAAATCTTAAATTCTAGGGTAGTATTGGACTCCCCCCACCAAAAAAAATAAATTTAAATAAAAGTTGAGAACATTTTGTATAAAGGGTGTTTTATTGTGTTTACAAAAACTGCAATTCAAGAAGCACACATTATGATGGCTGTCAGGTGTCTGGTGTACATCCGTCCATTACCACTAGATGGAGACACAGCTGCATGTTTGAGTGAGGAGCAGTGGATATGATCTCATCCCAAACAGCATTATAAATAGCATTAAAGGAATAATACTGTAAATTAGTATACAAAATGTAATGGCATTATTTTGAGTTATACACCAGCTTGGTCAGTGCGAGTGTGCATTGTGAGTGTGTGAAAGTAAGAAAGACAGATAACAACTGTCTCCCTCTCTTCTCTGGGTTTTTTCTTTCTTTCTGTGCCTGTTTTTGTGTGTGTGGTTGCCTTGTCCATGTGTGGTGGTGTTGTTGTTGTTGTTGTCCTTCCCTGCTGGGCCGGGCCTAGCAGTAGACAGTGCTCATGAATCACCCCTTATCGGGGTCCTCTACTGTTGGGAGGTGCAGTGACTCAAACAGCTTGGCTGAATAGTCTTGAATCACCCCCTAGTTAAATCCTGCACATATAGGCTGCGAGAGAGCGGCCGTGCTCGCTGGCGCGGCATGCTGCTTTAAAAGTCAGATCTGCCGATACACACTGTGCTCCTACATCTAAGCCAGGGCTCATTGGCACTGGAGGCAATTAAGTTCACCCATGCAAAACAATTCAATTATGCATCTGTGATGAGCCCTGAAATACCACAGAGCAAGACTTATGGTGGGCCCTCACACTAGGTTACTTTGCTTTTGCAAAAGAAAAAAAACCCCAAATTCTGAGGTTGAGTGTTGTTATTAGGAGGATACTCAAGTTTATGTTCTCTTCTGTAAAGTTCACAAAAACTAAATAGCCAAAGTTTAAACTAACATTGCAGATCTGTTGTTTACTGAGATGTAAATTAAATTGTTTGCTAAATAAATTTGAAGCTAATTCAGGAGGTTAATTCATTATGACTGCTCTTAACTCAACAATGATCTTCATCTCCATAGGAATCTCAACATCTTTGTTTTTATGTGCACAGCAGAAAAAAACTAAAAGTGAGTAAGCTGAGGTTGAACAGCATGTAAAACTATCGGAGAATAAACCAGCCAGGCTGTAATGGGAAAATAAATGGAGCATTCTGCTTTGCTGTCTTTCTGGCTGTGTGTGTGTGTGTGTGGACACATACACAATGAGCTCTCCGAGGAGCTGTAACTCAAAGGGATGCTGACTGAGCTGGAGGAGAGAAAAACAAAGAGTTGTTCCTGGGAAGATGGCCGCTTCTGGCACCAGATCACAGCTTGTAGAGTCGAAGCAGAGGGAGAGCCTGGAAGTGTGTGTGTGAGCAATATGTAAAGTAGCGGAAATGGAGGTGTATCGCCAACATTACTCATAGAGGATTTCTCAATTAACAGTCAATTGGGTAACCTTGAAGCACTGGCATGGTTGGGGTTAACTGCATGAGGACGGTTTATGCCAGTGATATCGAGTATCTGCCACCGACCCCGTACATATTTTGACCCAAATGTTGATTAAAGCAACAGTCAGCACTGGCTAAAATTGCTGCTACAGTAGCGGCGGACAGATGGCAGATTTCTTACCGTTCCGTCAAGAGTCTTCCAGGCTCAGGTGAAATTATACTATCGGTTGCATTATGGGAAATATAGAATCCAGTGGTTTTGAAGCCTGACCAATAGAAAGGACTACAAATCAGGATATCTGAGCCTCTGTTGCTTAAGTATGTCATTCTTTTAATCTGTTTGTTGTGAGTCAACTAACCATATGAAAGGGCAATACAAAATCTATGGAGTACCCCTTTACTTAGCTTTTAATCATATTTGACCAGGTCTGAATGATGTCGGTAGTAACAGACACTCAAAATGTGCGACGTAGATTGCTTCTCAACCAAGCAGTGTGAGAGCGACTCTGACAGACAGTGTTGGTGCATTTCCATTATGCACACCTAATTGCATCACACATTATTTCTCAGACGTCTCAGTAACTTACACTACACTTTGTAATGCTTTTGCATCCCACTCTGATGAGAAGATGTATCATTAGCAGCCAAGATAAAAATTGGTCTGTTATTATATCTGTAGCTCGCCGCAGAGGAGCTAAAAGCACCAACTGTATTCTTTTTCAAAATACAACAAGCTAACAGGCGTATAATAAACCATGTTGTTGTTGAGTTTTGCTGAGTGCTGCCACCAGAGGACAAGCTCGTGTGATTGCATGTTCTGTGCAGAAGGCTGCATATCCGAATCCAATCTCATGCTCTGCCAGAGAGATATTTCTCCATAATTTGATTCCAAACCAGGACTATATAAAAAAAAAAAAAACACCACAGGTCACAAACGTTTGAATAATTTCTCTAATCATGCAGAACTCCCATCACGAAATACAAGTGAGCATTAATCCACTGACAGCATGTCCAACAGACACATGAAATGATGTGTATGCAGAACATTTTCTGTTGGGTTTAATGATGAAATAGTGACTGTTGATACTGGTCAGGAAAAGACAATTACTTCAAGGCTGTGGAAGTGACACCTCAAAGTGGTCTTTAATCTTAATTTCGTTCTCTAAAGGGCACGTGTCTGACAGGGTAGGACATTATTGATCTGTGTGACTCATTTGTTTACTTTCATCTCCATTTTCGTGGCCCATACATGTTCGCAGAGTTGACATGCTGTTTGAATCGCCACTGACAGCAGTGTCCTTGTCATGCTCCCTTTAGGTCGATACCTGCGCCTGAAAATGTTCCGCGAGGATCATGGCTCCTGGATGACCATGTTCTTCAGCACCATCCTCTTCCTCTTCATCTTCTCACACATCTACAACCTTTTCCTGCTGATGGCTGGGAGCATGAAGTAAGCCATTCAATCTCTCTCTCTCGCTCTATCACTACCCCTTTTTCCCTCATTCTGTGCTTCCCATTTGTTACAGCCACTGTGCGCTCCCCTTTGGCTGGCGTGATTGATCTAAACGTCTCGCCTGAACAGAGACTCGATGCCAGTCTGATTAATCAGCCCCGACGTTAAATCACAGGTAGGGGCAGACAAGGGGAGGGTGGTTAATCCTGAAAGATCACCTTCAGCACCCACACTTATTCTCCCATGATCTTGACTTATTTTTTGACACCTCTCTGGCCGGAAACCAGGACGTTTTTGCCATGTCTCGCTCAGTTTGTGCCTTGGTTTTCTGCTCCTGTTGCACCGCCTTACCTGCTGAGAAACCACTGTGCACAGCAGAGCTTGACACCCACACATCACGCCTGTGACAGGAATCCATTTATGCATTTGCAATGTGTCCATCTCGAGGAAGGAAAACATGCCCTTGAAGCCAGCCAGACACGAGGTCGCCACGAGGTGATTTACCATTTTGTTTGTTTGGGCTGTTAAAAAAAAAAAAAAAAACAAACAAACAGCCTGGCAGGTGTCTATTCAAGTACAAGCTGTCAAAAGGGAGGCCAGGGCAGTAATGGGATCTGTCCATATAATGCTGCTTTTCCATATTAACAACAAGCATCAACTATCCATAAGGTGCAGGCAGATGAAGGCTATTAGCTAGCAGGCAAGGTGTTGTGTTTTCCTATGGCCAGAGGGATGAGTTTGTATAATCAGCCCATCTGTCACTTCGGCCAGCGCAGTGACATCGGCATCCATCTTGTCCCGCTCTCTGGTCGGCCCGAGAAAAAGGCAGCGAGCGGCTGAGCAGAGAGAGGCAGGTCCGCTGAGACGATGAATGTTGCTTGCTCAGGGAAAAGTTACATTTGCAGTCGCACTGAGTGCATCTGTCACAAAGAGGATTCCTTTTTACTGCCTCTCATTTCAGCTTCGAAAATGTCGTGAAAAGGGGCCCTTTTTAGTCTTGTCAGTGCATGTTTTAACTGTCAGGATTGTTTCACTAGATGACATTTGGATAATACACAGGAAAAAATAATGAGTTACTCAGACATTTTGAGAGACGTGACATATAATTTATATCCATCTTACATGTGCAAGGGACACACTCTCTGCTCATATTAGCCACATCAGTTGTCCGGATATAAAAAAAAGTAGCATCCATAACAGCTCGTTCAACAATTAAACTGGCTGACACAACACCAAAGCTCATCCATAATTATTTGCTTCGAAATGCGTGTCGAGCAGTGGTGTCGGTTATTCTAGCATTGTAAAGCTCTCCTCAAAAAGACAGATGGTGCTGTTGTAAAGCGAGTGAACCCGGCGCTGCCAAGGCACCTGGTCGTTTTCTGCTCTCGTCCCGACCCCCTCCCTCTCTCCCTCCCTCCTGTCCCTCTTTCCTGCTTGTTTTCTTTCTGCTCCAGCAGTGTGTCCACCGAGGACCCGGTCCCTGCCAAAAACCATTAGTGTTCACATCTCTGTTCAAGACTGACATGTAAGAACAATGTTCACACTCTGCCAGGACACCCCTCAGAAGACGGGCTCCGGGGCTACGATAGCATGAATGCAGCAGAGTGAGCAAAAAGGTGATGGAGGCTGAGAGGGGGGGAGAGAAGTGCTCCAGCCCTGATGATGCAGTGAAACTTAAGGCTTTTGATCTATGTCCAAACCCTCTTAGCATCAACTCCTCCCCTCCACCCCCCCACCCACTACTCCAACCATTGCCTCCCCCCCGCACGCAGCAAGACTGTTGTAGTTTTCTCTTTTGCCACAGCACAAAGGAAAAGTAAAATATCCTTTTGTGGCTGCAGCTGCCCCTCTGTGGGAATGAATGGTGTTTTTCCTTTTCATTTGTACTGAAAGAACAAGCCACTGTGAGGTATCATTACTGCCAAGGGTTTTTAAAGGGTAGGTATTTTGGCATGGGTTAGCTGGCTTTGACATCTAGCCATGATGGTGCACTGCAGGGGATGCTCTTCCGGTGGCTAGACAGGGCGTCCCGCACACACCAACCACATATTGTTCGCGTCTCGCACCTCGCTCAAGTTATCTGGGACATTTATGTGTATGTGGAAGTGTGTGTGTGTGTGTGTGTGTGTGTATATGAGCTTATGTTTGGTGAGGTAGGAAGTGGTGGGGGGGTTGTTGGCGTCTGTCTCCCTGCTGTCTCCCTGACCTGATGCTGTGCGCTGCCCGTGCCCTTCCCTCATTAATATGCTTTAATTTTCTTTGACCTTTCAGCCGGTCTTGAGCTTGATTTAATTAAAACTAGTCATACATCCACGAGGAAAGAAGATAAACTGCACCATCAGGCCAGTAAACAATCACAGATAAGAGATTGTATATCATATTGGATGACAAGTATTTTATTCAAAATTAGTCACATAAAATAGATTCATCAAAGCCATTACGACTCAACCCAAAGAGATTTCCAGACTGTGTAATCTTACACGTGTCCCACAGTGATAGCCAGTATTTAAACAGGTCTAAAGCTATCAACCTGTTACCTGGTTTACATCACATCAGGAAAAAAAACAAGCCTGTCCATCGTAGCTCCCTGGGAGCTGTAATCCACACTTGTTACCAAACCCTCACATCTGGGCTATTTGCATTTTAATGTAACTGTCAGATGAGGAGGGGGCTGTTTGTTTGAAACCAGGGGAGTGTGACCGCCCAGGGAGTTTGACCGACTTCATGAATGTTCTAGCACGCCGCACAATCCCATTCCGCCATCTTACGGCGCCATTACCAGCTGAATCAGCCCCTAATTAGATGGTGTTATTTAATTAAGACGGCCCAATGCGTGGCGTACACATTAATCATGGCTAATTTAGAGAGAGGGGGTGGTGAATATGTGAAGGTGGAGGGGAGAGGGTAGGGGAGGGAGTGTGTGGGGATCTAATAGGGAGTTGTAATGGGACAGGGAGTGTAAAATTACTTCCATACTTCTTCTCTTTGTTGCTCAGTAAAAGAATAGATTTCAGGATAGGGGCGGAAAAGCTGAGCAATGGAAGAGTGAAGCAAGGGATGGAAGGGAGGGGTGCAGTTGGTGGATATCTTTGGTGAGAAGCAGGGAGGGATGGATGTGGCATTTTGACTACAACAATACCCTGAGTGGGAATAGACTCCATCATATGAGGGTATTTGTCTTTGTTTACCATGATCCTTTGTGCTGCGTGCATGCTAGTCCCCCTCGTCTGTCAGTGTGCTTGTCTGGCACTAAGCTGGGGTAATACCATGGACAAGTGGATTTAGAAGGCTGAATAAATAGCATGTTGTGGTATGTAGATGCCTCCTGTTGCATGCAGCCACACGTGGGACTTGCTGCTGCCAACATACAGCAGCATATTTGTAACAATAGGATCTATGATTTGGCCTTTACTTAATGCTGAAAATTATAACTAACAAACTGTCTCGGTTTGAGATAAACAGTAGATATACTGTAGGCAGAACATTACCCATTACTTGGCTAGTAAATGACCCATTTCTTAGTAATTAGTTACAGTAATGTGATTATTTTTTCAGTAATGAGTAGCATATGGTATTACTTACCCCTAAAACTTGAAATTCGGCAATTAGATTACAGTGACTAACCCCAATAAGGCTCAGTTACTTACAATTACAAAATAACTTCGGAATCACCTACTTTAAACATCGGAATATCGATGTTTAAATTGGGTGATTTTCAGTTTCGTCTGAACATAATATTTGGGACAACACCAAAATACACCGTCAGAAACACTTTTACTACTGAGACATGATAAAGAAACCTTTTAGTAAACAGCAGTAAATATCTTGCAGTTTAGATTAATTGATCTATCTTAACCTTCCTCACTCTGCCTCTCTCATACTTCAACACACCCACATCTACTTCCTAAGCATATCTCCTGCTGTCTTTCACACTCCTACACACGGACATTACGTTGGTATCTCAGAAATGACTCATTACGTATTGAATGGATATTTAGTTAGTATAAAGTCATTTTCTTTCTCTCTCTCTCTCTCTCTCTCTCTCTCTCTGTCTCAGAATGTGTTTGAAACTGAGACTGTGAGCTGTATGAAGCAGTGAAGTCATTTCCCTCTCTCATTATATTAGCCTGCTGTTTTCTGGGACAGAGGGGAGGAGCGTCAGTGGTAGCTGCAGCCCTCCAAATAAGTCTCTGTCACATAAAGAGAAACAGCCAGTAAATAATAAACATCATAACCTTGACGGCGATGTGTGCCCACTGGGAATATAAAATATATATAATAATAGTAGTAGATGGAAGGCGGGGAGGGGTATTATAACAGGACAGACGGAGTGTTCCTGTATGTGTGCATGTTCGTGCCCCACAGCCACACTTAATGTTTATATCTGATAATATTTCAGTTACATTTTGCACGTTGTGCTCCATTGTTGCGTTAACTGAAAGAAAAAACCAAATCATAAAGCATGTTCTGACATTTCTAAATCCCACACACAGTCCAGGAGTTATTTAAGGCAACCAATCGAAAAAGAAACTTTTCTAAATAAAATTCAAATAAAATGTTTATGTTTTAGGGAGAAATTAGTTTTAACAGTCATGTTTTTTTTTATCATTATGTGTCTGTTTTTATGTGTACTGCACATCACTGCTGTCCAGTGGAAACCATGTGTCATGATTAAAAACATAATATTTTGGTTATTTTGACTTGTCCTGCAAATATGACTATGATATGATTTGATTTTAGTATGGGGATTCTCATTTTTGCACCACAAATTTAATTTCCACTGAAAAAACTATTAAAATTATGATAATTTGACATTTGTTGGGGTCTTTACCAAACAAAGATGTTTTCCTCAAATCTGGAGAATAAGATTTGTAGGCCAGGGCACTTCTTCAGAACTAAAGTACTTTATTATAATCCTGTTTTGTCACACATTTTACCTTTATCAAAAAATTGGACTGAGAATGAACTCACTTTGGTTTCCGACTACGTGGACTGCATACCTCAAATTGCATCTGCAAACGTGGCAGACAAACAGCGCAAAAGTAAGTATATTCCTGACTCTTGTCTGTTGGTAGAAAAGGAGGAAATGGCGTTACTGTAGAGTGGAAAGGTCCACAACCACAGTTGTTGCCTAACTAATCAAACCTAATCACCATGAAGGACTTGTTGGGGATACTAGTGTGTATGTAAATGGCCTCAATGTTAAGGTGCACCTGGTTTTGGGTCCTTCTGTTCCAATGGAAAGCTGATGGAGTGAATGGAGGGCCTGATACAATGCTGTACGAGATATTGCCCGATGGTATTCACTCTTACTCCTAAGCCAGAAGAATGATAAGGAATAAAAGGACTCAATCTCCAGCCAGTTTAATACAATGCATGGGCCGATTCTGTGCCGAGTGATGAATTGAGATTGAAGTTTTAAGTTGCCTTGGGAGATTGTATAGTGATAGTGAAGAGAGTGTGTATTGACAGCTTTATGCTCCCTGGTAACTACTTCTGTTCAGCATTGTATACTGTAAATACAACGTTAGGCACTGTAGTGCACAGCGAGGAGGCAGGCAATGCATTTCAATGTGGAGCCAGCCAAGGTCGCAATTTAATGTTCTGAATGAGTCCTTCCTTAAGAGGTCACTCAGTTGCCACAGTCACTAAATCACTGGCAGTCTGACACAGATAACAAGTTTATAAAACCAGGCATGAAGGCATATACGTCCAACTGGACTGAAAAAAAATTAATGGAAATCAGGGTTTGTGATGACTCAGAGTAGTGAAAGCTCTCTCAGCATGCTGTTTATAACCTTAATTATCAGGGTTCCTGTGGGTCTTGAAAATCCCTGAGTTGGGACTTTAATAAAAATAATTAAACCATAAACTTTTTCCCTTTTTAATTTGATTAATATATGAAGTTGTGGAAAATGCTTGGTTTATAGTCAAGTGTGGCATTGTAAAATTGTTTTGGCACCATACTACAGTGTGGGTTGTTGATAAAATTAGCTTTTAAAAGTTTAGATGTTACAAGGCCACTCCATCTTTCCAGGGCTGCACAGTTAATCACAATATCATTGAAATCGCAATAGTGACAAGTGCAATATGTAAATTGTAGAAGCTGCAGTTTGTTTGATAAAGGTAAAATGTGTGAAAAATAATATAGTACTGTAGTGCTGCAGAGATGGCCTGGCATACAAATCTTTTCCTCCAGAAGTAAGAACAAGTTTGTTTGGTGCAGACCCCGAAAAATTTCACATAATCTTATTATATTTTTCTCTGAAAATTTGTGCTGCAAAAATGATTCCCACAATAATTCCGAATCGTATTGAAATCACAATAGCTATCACAATAATTGCAATATGAGGTTTTTACCATATCCTGCAGTCCTACATTTTTCACGGTGAAACTGCATAGTTTCATTCATTTTTTTAAATTACATTTATCTAATGCTGGGTGATTATGGCTGTAATTAATAGTCAAATACTGAATGATGTTTCTGATATCCTGATATGGCAAATGTATGCAAAACCACATACCAAATAATCAAATTGATGTTCAATGCAATGAATTATGTGTCGTTGCCATGCGTTACCTGCATAATCCTCCTGAATAATTAATTCTATTGTAAAATGAGAACATGACATGATCATATCTTTAGTCCTGAATCAATTAGTTGATATAATAGACAGGACATTTATCTCAAACAATTTTGATAGCCATTTAAGCTTCTGATAAAGTAAAAATGCCAAACATTTGCTGGATTCAGCTTCCCAAGTATGAGCATTTGCATCTGTAATAATATAATGGGTACTTTTCACTTTTTCCTTATCGATTAATGGATAAATAAAAAAACTTCATCTGCAGATTAATCCATAATAATAAAAGGTTTAGTTACAGCCCTGTCTATGTTTAGGTTTTGGACTTCAGGCCAGTCAAAGTTATTTTAGGAAATCAGCTTCAGGATTGGGAAAACTGTAATTATAATATTTATTATTTTTCCCATTTTCTGCTAAATCGACAAATTCATCAGTTCTGCAAAACAAACCTATAAGTTGATCGATTTTATATCGAAAAGGAGTGAATAAGGGAATATAGATGGGAAAATAATGATGTATGATAATTATAACGAGCACTATAAAGCCATCAGAAACTCATCAGCTTAATCAAAATCAGTTACGTAGGAGTAGCCGTGCAATCTCAAAAACATCACAATGGCTTCTTATCACCAAAGGTGTCGCTGAAATCAAAAGCAATGATCTTGCAGATGACCACTTTATTACAACAGTTGAAATGGCCTTTCACTGGTTTATGTCAAACAGGGGTAACGTCCAAACTCCCAACTACTACTACTCCGTACCGTCTGTAGCGCAAAATTGTACTTTGTTGTATATAATGGAACAAGACTTTGAAAGGCATTGAAATGTCCTTGAATATTATGTCTGAACAAATGTGGGAAACCTGATAACATTCCACAGAGGGTCAAAGCTGGCTGAGCCGGCCGTGCTGGCACTGACACTGCCACTGGCTCTGCGATTAAGCCACGGGAGCCATTTTGGGGCTGATTATTCATGGTGCTACTGTACTGATGTTCCACTACACTGAATTCTCTCATTAGGTCATCCGGCTCTAAAGGCCATTAAATTTTCAGTCAGCATGAATAAGTCAGAGAGTTCTGCCTCTGATCACGCAGTGCGAAGAGTCCCCAAACTCATCATAGGTGCTCTGCAAAAAAAGAAGGAGAAAAAAAATCCTCTCTTTCAGCACAGGGGTAACATTTGCTCAATTAAATATGTGAGAAGGGCAGGGGTTGGCGGCAGGGTAGTGTTTTTAGATTTAAAGCCTAGCATGTGGTGCCAGACAGCATTTCCAGAAGTATCGATCAGAGTTTTGCTGCGGGTAAATGACTCCCAATGGGATCTCCTTGGTAACTGGAGCAGTGCCAAACCACTGAATGTCTAACTGACTTAATGCAGATATAAATCGTCATTCCAATCAAGGCCGTTTTATTTGCGGGCTTGAGCGAGGCAATACGTCACCTGCGGTACTGCGCGTTTTCGTCAATAAAATCTTGTTAAATCCTAAATGCATTTTATCTTTTATATATATATATATATAATATTTTGACTTATTATGCAACCCTAGTATATCTGAAATACATACACACGTATACGCACATACACACCAGCAAGGTTGTAGGCCAGATTTTCCAGAGCCCTCTGTACAATAGAAAACATTTTTATTGGTGTTTGCTGGCGGCCAGAAAATGACCAGGGGAAAACAAAGACGAATGGAGCCATTGACTTCAAATACGACCCCTTGAAAGCACAGCCAGTGCCCTATCTATCGCCATCTATTATATTCATGAGTGTGACCTGTGGGGGGTGAGTCGGGGCTTGGGGGGGAGGTGATGGGCGCCCACCTGCTCCACTCAGCGTCTAAGACACTGGCTGCCAGGAGATCAAACAGGCCTCCTCGCTCCCCTCTGTTCTCCTTCTCTCTCCCCGGCACAAGTCCCATATAGGAGGCGACTGACCCACTTTCCCTCCCTGTGCTATTACCTGTAGAAAATAGAGTGATGTGGTGTGATGTGGTGTGTGTGTGTGTGTCCGTGTGTGTCCGTGTGTGTCCGTGTGTGTGTGTGTGTGTGTGTGTGTGTGTGTGTGTGTGTGTGTGTATGTGTATGTGTTGGGTGGGTGAGTGAGTGAGTGAGTTTGCGGGGCTGAACAAAAGCTTCTTACTGTACAGAGATGAAGGCGTAAGTAGGACTCCAAAGAAAGCATGTAATTTCTTATCAGATACTATTGCATGCAAGATTGTTTCTCTAATGGCGTGTCAGGGCCTAGTATATATTTTGCTTCTGTGCTGCCGCAGTTAATGTTAACGGAGCTTGCTCAGATCCAGTGCATTAACTGGAGGGATCTCATTGGGATGGCAGTGTTGATTTGAAATCAACTAGACACGAGACAAATTTACCAAACATGTGGATAATTTGCCAAACACTACAGGACCAGATGAAAGCGGCGATACTAAATTCCATTGCACTGGTGTAAATTGTTTACAATTCTCAGGGCTTTATGCAAGGTAGAGCCGTCGCTCATTGTTTTCACAGGATTAAATTGATATTGATCGACTCTGACAACTAGCATCATGATACTTAGCGTCAGTGATCATTTTCTCTTTCGCCCTGCACTGACTCTCTCCCTCCGTTGGCCCTTTTTGTCAGTCGTCTTGCCACCTTCCTTTTCCGCCTGCCTTTATTACCCTCATAACATATACTACATTTTTTATGTCCTTTAAACTCTCGGTCTTCTTTCCTTGCAGGCCTCACATGGTGACAGAGTACATGGGCATCAGGAATGAGAGCTTAATGAAGATTGCTGCAGTGGGGACGTGGATGGGAGACTTTGTCACGGCTTGGATGGTGAGATTCCAGCTCTTAGGAATCCTAAACATTAGATAAGTTTGGAATTTATGAAAGGAAAGATTTAATTTTGCATCACTGCGGTCAGGAATTAAAATTTTTTCAATCCTGCATTATTAAAATAATCTTTTTAGCCATGCAAGGTTTGCTGACATTCATGATCCCCAGAAGATGAATGATTTTATCATACAATGCCAACAGGTCAAAATCTTACTGGTGGTAACAGCAAACGTGGTTTAACACTACAGGTCACAGAATTCTGGGGCCAACAAAACAAACTATCGTCATTTTTAATGAAGAAGTTGGGCAATAATTGGTTTTCTCCAGCATTATTTTTTCCATTATTCTGTGAGCAAGAGATCTGATTTTATACAGCACACAGCATGAGTGCTCAGTGAAACTGAAAGGAGCTGGTAACCTGGCTCAGAAGTGGGTGTACAGCCTGTCGCCTGCAGCTCTTCATCTTACTCTCTTCAGCTCACTGTGGTTATTCCTTCTTGTTCCATTACTTCGTGCAATGTTTCGAGCTGATCCGATGTTGAAAAATGCAAAAAAATGACTGTTGTCTTGTTTTCTTGACCCATTTTTAATGAAAGATAGCAGTCAGTGCTAATCTCACTGACAAACACGTTGCATTTCCTACTTCAAAATAAAAGTTAATTTGTGTTCGCCAGCTAAATGCTTTTAATGTGAAGTTCGTAACACTGCAAATACATAAATATTGCAATACTTTCTTTACATTTTTTTTATTGAGATTTTCAACAAAATCTCCATTATTGTTATAAAATATATTGTGTATATAAATATAAACCCAGTGAAAAAACTAAACAATGATAGTGATCACACTAAAGTGAGACAACCCTACACCCCTGTCCCACATTCCCCACCCCCTTGTTTCATTTTGCAATACTTTCATCAGGGGGCCATAGGCTCAATCACCATTGTTACCTAATTTGGCAATGGATAGTGAATTAACAGATATTTATATAAATGAAATATTGGCAAAATTATGATTTAAAACAGCAAATATATGATAAAAGACAGATATCCAGACCCAACATTCATTGCAAAGTTTGAGTCTGACCTTTTCTAAAACTTCCAATATATCTAATTTGATGCTTAATGATAAGGAAGCTGCCTGAATAGGAAAATAAACACGGATGCCTCACATCAACCAAAGCCAGATTTTCAAGGCAATGAAGTCCAATTTTGCTTTATTGTCTATGCATAGAATATAACCCTCACGCGACCCACGCTGCAGTCATACAACCATTTTGAGTGGTCTGATGAGATGATGTTCACATGTCATGAACATGGAAATCGTTCCCATGACTTGACATCGATCCATCACACAGGATGCGATTGTGGCATTATGCTGATTAAAGTTAAGCCAAGTCTAACGATGCAGGGCCAAGTCTGAGAGGATAAATTAGAGTTATCCTTTCAGGGCCAAAGATCAGTGGGTGGACCCTTTCAAATTAATTAATTAGTAACAGTGACAGTCCTCTGGCATCATCTGCTCAGGCCAAACTGCAAATTCTTTGGCCTATCGGTCGTTAACATACAGAAATAGAATCAATGGGTTTCTTTTCTTCTATGTCATAAACATTACATTCTTGTGGGGCCTCAAGCATGGCTACTTTTAGCCAGGTTTTCAGATTTCAAGTCTTAATTTATGTATATTAAAATCATATAGAAGATGCATGGTATAGCCATTCCTCACACACTTATCTAATTCCTAGGTCAGATGGATTCTCTAAACCGTTATAAGGCACACACTGAAAGCCCTCTGTGCAGATCCAGTTCATTCTGCTACTAAATCCTTAGAGTAACATGCAGTTTGATCTAAGAAGGGTCAGAGGAAACAATGAATGCACAGGGAGGGACAGAGTACGCTGGAGGAGAAACCTACCTCTGTTCATTTGTCAACATAAAGTGAGAAGGAGAGCTCCAGCGGGAGTGGGCTACCTGTGGTGGGAGGAGTGGGGCTCTGACACCGGCATGCACACAGCTGAGACAACTTGACAAGCTCCCTCACCGGTCACATTAGTATTCTACAGTACATACTGCAGAGAAAGAGAGCTGGTGGAAGGAGAGACGGTAGGGGAAGGAGGAGGGGAGGTAAGGAGTAAGAAACAGAGGTGAAGGGGAAAGGGAAATGTAGAAGTGTGGTTCGGAAGGGAGACGGGGGAAGTGGCGAGTGAGAAGGTGAATCGGGGAGAACAGAGATGTGCGTGTGAAAGTTAGACCAAGGCAAAGTGCTGATACCAGAAATTACTGGCAAGTTTTTTGTTTTTTTACATTCAATTAATTCAACAAGGCACTTTGAAGATGACCTCTGTGTCTCCACTACAGAGCAGATTTACAGTGCATCTTCACTCGATGAATGAACAGGAAGTGTCTGTTTTTGCAATGCTGCAAAGTCAGAAACAACTTGCAGACTGTCCGATTCAAATCCTTTTTGTAAAAGCTACAGTATCTGCAGTGAGGCACTTTATTGACAAATTGACCTTGCCTCTGCAGCGGCTCCACACAAAGCATATAGTGGGGATTTTTATACTCGCGCAATAAACTGCTCTGGTACAACTGCAGCCATGTAAGAAAATCTGTCTTTGACACTGTGAAAACATTATCACCAAGTCTAGGCAGTGGAAAGACGGGTACAGCCATTACATTAATAATGAAACAAGCCAATATTTATTAAAGGTAACCACACACTCAACAGTATTTAATCACAAAAGAACTGTTGTTCAGTTAGAATTAATTCATATTTAAATTTAACGTTTCGAGATGTAACTTTAAAATGTTTTTAAAGCCAGCCGGCCAACCCCAGCTTAGCTAGCTGGCTAGCTGGATGGCCCTGCCTTGCTTCACTCTTGGCTAGCAGAAAGCAATCGTTTGTTTTGTACCATTATTAAATAAAAATTAACTAAAATTAACAAACTAACATATCCATTCAGATAGATGGTATATTTAATGTTATCTGGTGCTGGCCGCCCCGCAATGCTAGGCAACAAAGTGTTTTTTCTCTCTCTCTCTCTCTCTCTCTCTCTCTCTCTCTCTCTCTCTCTCTCTCTCTCTCTCTCTCTTACCCCAACTGGTCGAGGCAGACGACCACCCACCTAGAGCTAAAGGATCTGTCCTAGCTTTCTGCCTTTTAACAGGCAGTTTTTCCTTGCCCCCGTTGCCAAGTGTTTGCTCATGGTGGTACTGTTGGGTCATGGTGGTACTGTTGGGTAAATAATGTCATAAGGAGTTCGGTCTAGACCTGCTCTATTTGAAAAATTGTCCTGAGATAACTTCTGTGATGAATTGGCGCTATACAAATAAAATTGAATTGAATTGAATTGAATTGAATTGAATTGAATTGAATTGAATAGAATATATACCGTATTTTGCCATGTTAGCTAACTAGCAATTCGCCCTCGTCAGCAAGCAAGCTACCTAATGTCAGATAAAACCACAATATCCTGTATTATCACAGTATATTTTACAAGCTTCGCAGTAATGTTTGCTTTGACTTTGGACATTGTTGGACACTGTGTTGTGTTCAGAATCTTACATATTAAACCTTTATTATTATAAATAGCTTCATGCATGTTTATAGCTCTGTTTCATGTAGCTTCTTCTTAGCATTAGTTTGTGTATGTTTAACAGTACAGGTTATATTTTGTTTGTTTAATTCATACAAAAACCAAAGTCCTCAGTCCTCCATAGAACCACAACTAGAAGGCACATTTGATTAAATTTAGGCATAGCCAGGCTTTAACCCCTGGTCTCAGTCTTAGCTAAGCTAAACTGTCTTAACCTTCTGTACATCCAATCTTAAGTAATTGAATCATTTTATTTGTACTTTACTTTCTGTAGGTGACAGATATGATGCTCCAGGATCAGCACTACCCAGACTGGGGCAAAGCAGCTAGAAGGTTCTGGAAACAAGGCAACAACAGGATCGTTCTCTTCTGGTATAATTTCTTCTTAAGATGACAGGAGAGGAGTCCATATGTGTCTTTCCTTGCATGTGCATGTTAAGATTTCATATAAATGTCTCTACTAGCTAACCAAATGCATTATTTATTCCTACAAGGCTCTGTGGATGTGTGTATGTGTGCATGCATATGTGGTCTCTCCAGCCCTTTGCAGGGATACACACAGTCAATAGCCATGTTAATCTTCCCTCACTCAGTGTCAGCACCTTTAATTAGAAGAACAGGGTGAAAATCAATGGACACAGCAAGGTCGCGGGGCAAACCATGGCCCTTCCTTTTACTTCTCGCACCACAAGCTGTGACCCCTAAATAACTGCTAAACAAATGCGGCAAACCATGTCTGATATGCCCATTACTAGACGACCATGTAGAACCTTTCCCGTTTCAGATTACACCACCAGTGCACAGTCCCAGCGGTATTCATTCAACAGCGTGGCTCAGTGCTGTCAGTCAAATATGACATACGAACGCCTCTCCGCGGTTCATTTTAGGGTCATAGTGAGAAGTGGAAGACATGAAGAAGAGGATATGGTTGAAACACTTTGCCATCTGTTTGATATGTACACAAGGAGCTCAAGACATGGACAAAAAAAACAAAACAGTTTAGCCATGGTGTTCAGCATCTGCTTTCTTCACCTGCGATTAGAATGCAAGCAGATGAATTGTTCTGTGACTTTTTCTGCAGCCCTTTTTTTTATTGATGGGTGCCCGACTCGCACTGTCACAATCAATGCCGGATTTGACGAGCCATCATTTGAAATTCAGAGCTTGAAATTATGATTGATAAATGTGTTGCTGGATAAATCTTGTCAATATGCGCCGAGGGGTCGTGGCAAATTGTAAAGGACAGTGCCAAAAGTCGGCCATGCTGCGGAGAAGAAATCCCACTGTGGAATAATAAAAAGCCTCAAAATGTATCTCCCTAACAGCTGAAATGGGATATGAGCTGGCATTCACTATCTGCAATGCAGCCACCCGATGTGTGGTGCAAGAATGCACACAACAGCACAGTAATCACTGGGTGACATTGAGACAAAATAGACAGTATAGAATAATACTAGCCTTTGTCATTGTGCCTCTCTTCATATGTCTATGAAAATGTACCAGTAAATAGTGAATACAGAATTACAGCAAAGTGACATGAACACAATTCAGAGAGGGTGAAAGAACGCAGAAAAAACACAGCAATCACTGCATGCAGGTAAACGAAATACTTTGGCTCATGTTAAATATGTAAATACATGGAAATATGTGTGCAGTAGAGTTTTGAATTGCATGGTCTCTGCATCCATAAACACACTCATTTTTTTCCCCTATACACATTCATCTCCCTGGAAGCTTTATCTGTTGCCATTTTTCAAATCCAGTTAAAACTGTTGTTCAATACATTATTGAGTCCATGAAAAGAGAAACTGAATAGTATTTGATTTATTTTTTCTTGCATTTGACGTGGGAGAGGAAGTGGAGTCATTTGTCTTCCAAGATCCAACAATGTAAACTTTGCACCTTGTGTAATTCGAAATTTTGAAATTACATTTGAATGGTTTTTTTTTCCCAAGGTCTTTTTAATGTGTGTCATTCTTAATTTTTTTCTCCTATATTTTCCTTCTCCTTTTTCCTGTCCTATCCTCTCCTCTCTTCCTCTTTTCTTCCCTCCTCTCCATGCCTCTCTACGTTTATTTCCCTTCCCTTTCCTCCTCTTCTTTGCTTCCTTTCCATTTCTCCTCTCCTTTTTCCTTCCCTCCTTTCCCTCCCATCCTTCCTTTTTTTCCTCCCCCTCTCCTCCTCTCCTCTTCCCCCCTTCTCTTCTTTCCTTTCATTTATTTTTCGTCCTGGATTTTCTACTTCTCTTCTCACTCCCTCGCCTAGCCTTCATTTTCCTTCTTTCCTCTCCTTTCCTTTTCTCCCCTCCTTATATACTTTCCTCCTTCCCTTTTCTTCCTTAACTGTTTCTGCTCATCTACCTTTCCTTTTTCTCTCCTTTATAATTCCTTCTTTCCGTGCTGTCCACTTGTCTCCGCTCTTCCTTCTCCCCTCTCCTGTTCTTCCTTTTCCTCCTGTGCTTTCCTCTTCTTTCTTATTCTTTTGTTCCTTCCTCTCGTTTTCTTCCTTTTCCTCTCCTTCCTAATTCCCTCCTCTCTTCTCTCCTCTCCTCCTGCAGGACAGTGCTCATCTCTCTGACGTCGGTGGTGGTTCTGGTCATCAGCACCGACTGGATCAGCTGGGACAACTTGAACCGAGGCTTCCTGCCCAGCGACGAGGTCTCCAGAGCCTTCCTGGCCTCCTTCATTTTGGTCTTCGACCTTCTCATTGTCATGCAGGTAGACCGATCCCCTGTGGCCAATTAAAAAAAAAAAAGAGAAAGAAAGAAAGGGAGCTGGGACGTCTCTTGGCTTACTCTGCTACCCATCTTGCCAACTCCCCCCCCCCCCCCCCCCCCCCCCCCCCCTATTCATCAATGGGGCACTGCGGCACAGAGCAGCGAGAGCGGTGTTTGATCACTCTCAGTTGGCATGGACACAAACACATGCACATACAATGACAAATACATAGATATACAAACGGTTGTTTACTCCTTTTACATCTCTTCTCTTTCAGTCCCTCCATTCCTCTTTCCTAGACCTCAGCCATGAACTCACCCTTTTCTGCCCTACTCCCCTGTGAGCCTAGTTTATTTTCTTTAATGATGACTCACAAGATTGGAGTTTTTCTCACTTTCTCTTTCTCCCCCTCTTTCTTTCCCACCCAATGTCCTCTCTCCCACAGGAGAGTGTACATCAATAAAGGCTGTGTCAATGGCTCATGAATATGCAAATGTGTTTGTCCCGGCTAAACAAAAAAAAAACTCACATAACTGCGTATTGAGGAAAAAGAGAGTGGGAGAAGGCTTTTATTTATTTATTTATTTATTTATTTATATTGTACACCACTAGCCAGGAGCCAGAACCACAGGCCAATCGTGTATGTGGTTTGACTGCGAGCCTAATTCAACACGGCTCATCCAAATGCTTAATGAACATATTTCACCAGGCCTCGCCGGTTGGTATTAGAGAAACACGTTGCAAGACTAATATTTGGTATCTCCTAAATATACGTTTCTTCTCTGTTGATTATGCTAATTGCTTAGAGCTCAGTTGCACAGGAGAACATCTAGTGTTACAAATACACCACTCCACAGAAAACCTGGCAAGGACAGCATTATAATTCCCGTGGTAATATGTATTAGAACTGTACCACTAAAAGTGATTTCTAGACTTATTTATTGAGAAAAACTATTATTTTAAGGAGGGCTTCTGGCTGCTCTAGCCAGTAATTACTTCACACTGTGGTGCTTTTGTCATTCATTTACCCAATTATTGTGATTGTGAATGTATACAGAAACAGCTCAGCCTATAGTATGCAAGCGTTTCCTCACAAAGATGCTGCTTAGGCCAGCTTTTTCAGCTTCCACGAAAAAAGCCCCAGCCCTAATGTGACATGAAGGATAACGCTCCCTATTTTGACATCTCCATTTAACTCCCCAAACCAGCGACCGCGACTCTCTCTCTCTCCCTTTAAACTTGGCGGTATATTATTCCACACTCGCATGGATTTGTTTACGACGGGCCCTTCTCATTTTCTGCACAGTGTACATCAAGCACGTTTACTACAGTTATTTATGACTTGAGTTAGCCTGCACCGTTACATGGCCCAAGCACCGGCCGCCACCGCCGCCACCGCTACGTTCCACCAGTCAATAAAAACTCATCCACGATGGCCCTCCCAGCAGCTTCATCCACCTCCATCTTGGAGCACAGGGTGCCATAGTTAATCTCTCGCCTCCATGAGAAAAGATGGGTGTTGTTGTTCTCAGACTAATTAATGCCCCAATTAATGACTGTCTGGATTTTCCTTCAAGCTGCGTGTTACCAGCTGAATGTCAGATATCTATGTCCTTTGTGTATATGTATATACTGTATACATTTACATTTACATATGCGGATGATATGCTGATAATCCCGGCCGGTTTACTCCTCTTATGTCGTAGAGACTCATTATTTTGTGGGTGGGAGGTGCATGGCTTAAATGCCGTGCCTGTTAGTGCTATAGCAACAGATACTGCCGCTATGGAAGGGAGTGGAGGATTTAATTAATATCCAGGGGGCCATCACCAAGCTGTTATGCTGTTCATAGATATTGGCATGGGAGACTCTGGATCACATGAGGATATAGTGAATGCAGATATGTGGTAATGTGATGCAGCAAGACGCAAATAGCGGGAACCGAGGGGATATATAGCTAATCTAAAAATTAAAATGCTGAAATTATGGTTGTCTTTTTTTTTTCTGCTCTGTAATAGAGATGACAAAAGCTAATTTACAAGATGATTAAGTCAAAAGCAATGCTTTTCAAAACATTTACATTTTCTTCACAGTGTGATTTGTGTTTCCCATTTTAATTACATGCTTTCATAATGTTAAGTAACTAATTACAGGTGTATGAGGAAATTTTTGAGTACATCAAAAATATATGTATTTAAGAAAGCAGAAATGTATGTATTTAATGTAAAATAAAGCCATTATGACATTTATGTCCAATAATAGACATTTAGTTTTGTTATTTAAAGAGCGATCTCCAGTATCAGATGTTACATAGTTACTCCTTTATTTATCTACCTCAGTTACAGGCCTCAAACAAGTTGCAAATAATATGAAGGGTTAATAAAATAAGCCATTTCAAATTATATTGGATTTACTGAAAAAAAAACATTTCCCATAAAAAGTTGATGTTTTGGAGATACATTGCCACATGTAAAAATGTATTTCTTCAATTTAATGTCTTTAATGTTTTGCTTGTGTGTCTCATCAAGAGCAGCGACTGCTTTTCTGTAAAAGCCACTTGCCACCAAATATGACCACATACTAGCAAAAAGAGCTAAGTGACACCACAGGGCATGGGCAGCTTCTAAATGTCAGTTTGGGGTGCCTGTTGATGTGTTTTGACGTGTATAAATCCCTGTGCACATTAGTACACTCCACAAGCCTGTAAACACACAGCGTAGTCTACAGTGGCTGGCACCATGTTTGACCTCCAGTCAGTGTATGAAGAGACTCCACAGAGACTCAACATCAGCTAATATGAGAAAGTTCAGTGAAGTATTCAACATCCAGTAAAGCACGATAACATTGCTGACATTTGTCACGCAGATGCGGTTATGTAAATGTGTTCAGTTTTCAACAGCTCAGGCTAAATTAGTCGCAATCTAAATTCATATTACTCTTTGTGTGTGTGTGTGTGTGTGTGTGTGTGTGTGTGTGTGTGTGTGTGTGTGTGTGTGTGTGTGTGTGTGTGTGTGTGTGTGTGTGTGTGTGTGTGTGTGTGTGTGTTTTTCAGGACTGGGAGTTCCCTCACTTCATGGGTGACCTGGATATGAATCTACCAGGAATGTCAACAACGCATGTGAAGGTCAAGCTTCCTGTCTGCAAGAGTATCTTTAAAGAGGAGTACCACATTCATATCACAGGTACAGGCAGACACAGGCACAGCTGCTGCATACAAAGAACAGGGCCATCTCATAGTTTCACGAGGAGCAACTCTACCTTTCCCTAGCTGTTAACAAAGTAAATTAACACCCATATTTATAAACTGATTGAATGGCAGAAAGAAACTTTGGCCTATTTATGAATTGTATTGTGAATATTAAACATACTCTCCCTGTTCTACTTTTCCATTTTCCTCCGTGTGGGGAAACACTTTGATGGTTAAACCGCAGCAACCATTTATTATACATGTGTAGCTGATTTGGCACGCAGGTGGCTCCACCGGTGCAACTGCATTTCCTGTTCTTTTCGTTCCTCCCTGTCGTGCGAGACACATCTCTCATCATCTTTCACATCTACGCGTCTTAATGTTCTCAGTGAGCGACTATATTTCCCATTTGAAACCGTCCTCCCGGTTTCTCCATTTTGTTCCACCTCGTGCACACGGCAACTCACAACCTTAAAGAGAAGGCAAAACCAATGTTCCTGTGCTAAATGTTGCTGTTCAAACGCTCAGTGACTTGCAAAAGGTTGTTAACCCTAATGCATTGCATATCCATTAAACATTATGGAAATGGCTCCGGCGCGACGTGATTGGTTTAACTAAAAGCTTATTAACAGCATATCTCGTTGGGGGTAGGATTGGGAAGAGGTGTCACGTATACCCGGGGAGACATCTGCCTGCTATCAGTCAACCTGGGGAGATGAGTGTCTCGTGGTAATGTACTGATCTCGTTAGAAGATACTAGTGGACCTGCAAATGGATCTATCTGTCTCAATGCGCAAGCTATATGCAAAAGGGGAAGGATTCCTGATAAATGAACGTGACAGCGTATCTGTCTGTCGAACACTGCCCTCTAAATTTTGTTTGGAGTAGACTTGTGATGTGCATCAATCTGCTTGTCCGTTAAATGATCTGTACAGTGCATGCATGTTTATTCCTTGCTTATCTGTCAAACATACCCTTGTTTTTAATCTAACACAAGTCACGTGTCTCGTTACAGGTAAGTGGTTCAACTACGGTATAATTTTAATCGTGCTGATTTTGGACCTCAACATGTGGAAGAACCAGATCTTCTACAAGCCCTACGAGTATGGTCAGTACGTCGGGCCCGGTGAGAAGATCTACACAGTGGAGGAGCCAGAAACCCTCATTAACTTCAACCACAGCACCCTCACCTACAAGTGGCGCTCCACCAACATCGACCCCAACACCAACTCAACCTACGTGGAGCGGGACATGTTCCTCCACAGCCGCTACGTAGGAGCCAGCCTGGACGTGAAGTGCCTGGCCTTCATCCCGAGCCTGGCGGCGTTTGTCCTCTTTGGGTTCTTCATCTGGCTGTTCGGGAGATTTCAGGACAGCGAGACCTTCACGGAAAACCAAGACAAGACATATGAAAGGATCAAGAGGAAGTCGCCGTCGGAGTACAGCAAGGAGATGGGCGTGACGCCGGAGGAGACTCCTGTGACCATGAGCGAGAGTCTCAAACAATCGGGGACACCCATGCTGCTTTCGGTGGACGGCCCACACTTTGGGGCGACGCCCTCTACGAACTCTACTATTTCCATGGAGACCCAAGAGACACATCCGAGCATTGTGATTGACAATGCGGAACAGGAGGAACCGGCGGTCTCTTTTGATGTCCACAAGCTCTCCCCATGACCTTATGAACCTCTGAAACTCTGAGCTATGTAACTGCGGACAGATTGAAAATGAGAACTCGAGATGTAGATCGTCAAGATCTCAAATTGTTGCTGTTCTTCGGGACAGGACCAAGCTGCAACAGACATTGAACACAACTGTTCACGAGATTCAAGAAAAGGACAAGGTGACGTCAGATGAACACCAAGCCAGTCCTGACGGCTATTGCAGTTGCATTTGTTTGAATATATTTTTGTAAAGCAATTCATTGTTTTCAAAACAATCTTTTTAAAAGCCTCAAAAAACTGCACCAATTCTGATAACTAACGCATCTTTTAAAACAGAATGCAAACTTTTAATTGACATGGTGCTCGCTTGGATTTTGCATTTTCATAACTCAATTTGGCATGGTAAACTATTTTGGTGCCTATATATCAGAGGAGTATTTCTACAGTCGTGACACTGCAGTCAGGTGGATTTTATTGTATCACACCAGTGTTACAGCTACACTAGTGCCTTGATATTTCATATGTTCAGATACAGACAGAAACATATACTGACAGTCTATACTACTATAGGCAACAAAATGGAAGATGTCCTAGTTACAGTCTGCTATATTAATGTCTTATACATGCTTTCATATTATACGGACAATTGTTACCTCATTTGATCCTCAGACTTTATCATTTTAATTTATACTCATGTCGGTCTCTCACGTCTGTCTTACTCAATTTTAACCGTCTCAGTCTCATTGAAAAGACATGAACATCAGTGTACCATCAGTGACGTTTTCATATCCTTTCACTTGATATTAGTAGCAGAGAGAATAAATGCAATCAGATCAAAAAGCAAACCAACAAGCCACCTCATGATTGCTTATGTGGCTGCTGCACCTGGACTGAATACCAACAGAGTCAGAAAGGTGGTTTTGCCCTTGGCATAAACATGCCATTGAAGTGCAAGGGAGGCTTCTGCTCCAAAGCTCAGGGCTTCTTTATGTCTAGATAAACCTTAAACATTTTAGAAGCAGTTTTGCCATCATGGTAAATGCATGAGAAATTAATTATTTATTTGAAACTTTATCCTACTGTAAAAAAAAAAAAAAAAAAAACAGCCTGCAGCATTTATCTTTACACTGGCTTTTGAAAGTGTTGGCTGCCTTTTTACATATTTTCCTGTGCTTGACAGTCTCTTTTAAAATACATATATTTGGAGTTTTTGGTCTACTAACTGAAATACTAACTCAGTTATTACTGCATTACTAACTGTTGTTTAATATAAGTTTGTCACATTCCACTTTGCATAGAATTATCACCAAAGATACCAAATAATAATTCTGAAATTTGAATATTGCTGCATCAGATGATATGCTTATTTAAAAGAGATATATTCATGATAGACAAAGTGGAATATTATGTGCTCTTGCATCACTCTGCATTATAATGGAGTGTAATGTGCTATAATATCCTGGAAAACTAGGGTCTATCAAAAACAACTACATATTTTGCTCCCCAACACCTCAGTCCTGACAGAATTTTGTTCAACATTATTTGCGTTCAAAGTAATGTAGCCTGGGGTGTCCCACCAGAATAGTTGCAATGTTCAACTATAATCAATTAATAAATGGATTAATTTTTTAAAAAGCTATTTTAAATAATTCTATTAAATTTGCTGGCATTTATATATTTACATACTAAAGTAAAATAATGCTTAGAAGATCAATCTAGAAGATTATTTTAGCCAGTTATTTATTTTCCGTATTCTGTCTATAAATGACAAAGGAAGCAGAATTATTGTCAAATGTATTTATCTATTTATTTTTAATTAATAACCATTTAAATGTAACTTTAATGATATAAATTTATAATAGATTTTCTTTTGTTTTAATTTATTAATTGATTACATAAAACAGTTAATAATTCTTCCGGTGACACTCCAGGCACCTTACAGCAATTCCCTGTGAATGTGTGTGCTTGTGTGTGTGTGTGTACACTATGGCGACAGATGTGTACATATTTGTCTGTAAAGAATGTTTTATACTTAATAGTGCATGTTGTGTGTGAGAGTCTGTCTCTATGTGTGTGTGTGTGAGTGTGTGTGTGTGTGTGTGTGTGTGTGTGTGTATTCCTGTGTGCAATGGAGGCTTGTGAAGTGCGTAGGTGTTTGCTGCTACACTTGTTTTTGACAAAGGCCATTCTGTGAAGAGGTCAGTTTATTTAGCATAATTGGTTTGCAGCTCTTGGTTCTGTAATTATCCTTTTATACATTACAGCGCTATGAACACATTAGATATTAGTGTTTCACCAAAGGGCAGAACCTCTTTGGACTTGAAGGGGGTCTAATATGTTTGTAACGTATTGTGTTTTGGTCAAAAGTGAGGGTTTCCTCTTTGTTGTTCATTCTATTTTCATTGAATTGTGTTCAGACCTTTCCTGTGTGTTTGTGCTTTTTTTTGTTTTTGTTTTTTAAAGCAGAGAAAATCTCCTTTCAGTGTTTGCTCAGTGTACTGTACGTCTGTTGAGCCTTGTGTTACCAATAAATTAATACATTTGTTATATACTCTATTTAGTTTTGACCACTTTGTGAGATTCAGTAATATTACAGTATTTTTGAAGGTTGTGTAATTCTCAGTGAGAATAGTTTGTTTTCTATATGCTTGGAAAATCATTGCCAAATAACAGCACAGGTCAAACTTCTTGCAGCTGCTGACCCAATTAATATGGCCGATATGATAAATAATGATACTATCTTCACAAGGACACTTGGATATGTAGTCTGCATACACATGACACCTGGCTCAGATTAGTCGGAGTCTGCGCTGGGCCTGTCCACTGTTTGATTTATGCCAGAGGGAAACAATTTGAATTTGTTGTGTTTCCCCCAAAGGATTTGTTTACAGGACGTGTGTATGTGTAAATGAGTTATAGATTAGATTGAAAACGTCGGTGGAAGGAAAAGTGAACCGATCACAGGCTGAATTGGTTTAAGGCAGTGGTTCCCAAACCATGGTTGGAACCTCTCCATGGGGTCGGAAGATAAATCTGACCGGTCGTGAGATGATGATTAAAATAGGAAATCAGGAAAATTGTTATTATTAATATAAATTTATTTTTAATTTATTATTTATTATAATTAATATTTTTTTCTTCTAATTTCTGTGTTTTAGCCATGTAAGAGGCAAAGCTCTAGGGATGGCAAAGTCATCCACATTTTATACAGACATTCACATTCCCTGAAGGATGAATTATGTTTTTGGTGATCCCAACTTTTCCTCTAGCAGCACCTCGAGGCTGACATTTGTGGTTTTCAGTTAAACAAGGCACAAAGGATCAAACATCTAGCTTAATCGCCATTGAATTTGTACTATACTGGGTGCCACCCAGGCCCACCTATCCCTACACAAACAAACCTCAGTGCTACTTTGTATGCAGTGCAGATTAGCAAATGTTAGCATGTTAATGTACTAAACAAAGATGATGAACATGGTAAACATACCTGCTCAGCATGCTAAACTAAGCATGTTAGCATGCTGATGTTAGCATTTTTTCAAATGCACGGCTGTGTCTATGTACAGCCTCACAAACCTGCTAGCTTCGCTGTGGACCTGTTTCCTTGAGAAAAACTCACAGATTTACCATTTTAGAACTCAAATGAAATAATCTAAGGTAAGAAGAGACTTTTTTTTTAAGGGTTGAAGCCCAAAAGGTTGAACACCAGTGATTTAGGGGGACGTACAGAGGAGGGGGCGCTATGAAAGACTGTTGATGGAGCAGCAGTTAAAAGGACTAACCTGTGACCGTGATACCACAGGTTTAATCTCTGCAGCAGTTCATCATCAGTAGCCATGTATTCTGTGAAGTGTAATTGCATCCACAACACTGAACCCTGCCTCACCACTCGCTGTAAATTATCCCTAATAAGAACATCAGTTAGGTGCTTTTAATGCTTAGTATGAAAAAATACCTACAGTGTGAAAACCAAGTATCTGTACTATCACCTAGGACTTACTGTTGCTTGTTGTTTGTCTCATTGCCGGGGAGTATTAGCTGTTTGACTGAGGCCTCTTCCAAGCCTGCCATTGAGCTGAGAAATGAGATATTGATTTTTGGAGGACCATGCAGTAATTGAGAGAACACATCAAAACCGGGGTTTCAAAAATGTTTGTGGGGTGTTGGAACCTGATGCCCATGTTGTGTTACCAGTGTATTGACTGCTTCTTCAATGTAGTGGATGCATTTGTGTTGGTAGCATTCGCAATTGATCGCCTTCTGCTTCTAATCAAATTTTGAAGAAGCTTCCTTTTTTCATGCCTTTGGAACTTTCTGGAGGCATTTTTTTAAACATTTCACATTATTTACTATTTGCTCTGGTCACATATCTTCTAGCAATAAATCAGAAATGACACGAAAAAATTGAACTGCTAGTGTTGTATCTATAGCTAAATATAAACCAGAAAAATCCCCCAGAGGAGGATCGCTACAGCTACAGATCAACTGGAATCTCCTCTACTGTCTCTGAGCTATCCTCCAATTAGATCAGTGTATCATGTCCTGGCATGGCCCATCACTCTGTGCTGACAGCTCCGTGACTCTGGGAGACCCTGTGAAATTTATCAGTGCAGTCAGTCTCAGTCAGCTAGCAGGTTCTACCCTCTGTCCTTTTACAGAGCCGGAGATGGTTTCTGTCCCCAGTGGCCACAAGGGAAACAGAATTCATCATCAATTCCTTCCAGGTTTCTGATACCCTACAGAGGAACATGCAGCTCTGATAAAACTCTCAACACATCCAAATCCCCAGACATGGGTTTGTGATAATGATGTCTTACTTACTGTTTCTCTGTCGGAGAAAGGGGATCTGTTTTTTAAATGAAGAATTCTTTGGTGAATATTTAGACTAAGGTTTGCACTGCTGAAGGCCTTTGTGGAAACAATCCAACTACTTTTTTTTACATTTTTCTTGTTAGAGGAAGTTGAAGCAATAAAGAGCCACATTTTTCGCATTGTCAGATATTTTGGAAACAAAACAAAAATGTAGTTTGACAAAAATCTTAACTCAAGGTCCACTTACTAGCTTTTTCTAGAGCTTTTATCTATCTGCATCTCACTGCCTTCCTCAGAAAACTAATGTTTTGTTTGTTTCCGTGCATTTAATCCTAAAATGTGGTTTGCATTACTTCAAATTCATCCACAAAAACAATGGCTTTCTTTTAAAAACTCTCTTAAATAATGTATTTCTCCAATTATGCTATAAAGGGAAATACGTCTAAGGGTCGGGGGTATGCTCAACCACATCAAAAATCAAGTGTTAATAGTTGTTCCAGAGGGCGACACTGGAAGGTGGAAAGCCGGCCATCATAGAGAGAGGAAATATTTGATAGAGTCAAGGTCAGACACAGACCCGACATCTAAAAGGTAGCTTGAAGGCTTGTTTCCGAAGCTATTCGAGCATTCATTAAGCACTGTGAAGAAGCATACTGGCTGCTTAAAAGTCTAGACCAATTCTAGCAGCTCTGTGAGGCTGTAGGTATTGTTTACAGGATATGCAGTCACATAACATATCACTACCAACATATAATTTAGTTTCTTGACATTACATCAGGATACAGCTACAGCAGCAGAACAGTTTGATTTGTAATGTGTTACATTTGGAAAGAACTAATGAAAACATTTGGCAAATGGTTAAATTTGTAGAGAAATGTAATCAGAGTGAATCAGTTCTTGATGAATGGTGGCTATCCCGATTATTTCAGCTTCAGCTGCAGCCACAGTTAAATCTGGAAAACAAATCCAAAGGCACCGTGGGATTGTAGAGCATTTGTACTTGTCTATGTATTTGTTTTCATACAGACAAATATGGCAATTCAAAGTGAGTTCTCTTCTTGTTTTGGCTGAGGCTCTATATGCTTGTGCATTCAGTCAATCCTGCACATTTCTGTAAACTGACAAACAGATAGAGTTTACGCTGCAGTGATGCGAGGTAATCCTACAAGAAAATGCTTTACACTACACTTACTGCATAGATTGTACCTACCAAGTCAAAACACACATATGAATTTGATTAATTCCATGCTCCTGTTCTCTACTTTGACAGCATTTTTCTCCACAGAGACCTCTTTAGCAATGCAGTGAATTCTGCACACCAATTAGAGCCATTTGAAGAATGGAAGATCACTGAAAACGTAATGAAAGAACTGTCATGCAGCACAGAATATTGCACACTGATGCATTTTTATCAATTTAAACTCTGTACTGAAGTAAAACTGACTTTTCTCTGTTGCCTTGCTTCACCAGCCACAATCACAATGATATGTGTGGTCATTAACGGTGAATATAGGACAGGCAGTGAAGTGGACTCCCTGTGGGTCCAGGCATCTGTTGCAGAGGGTTCAGCACTGCCATGGAAAATTGAACATTTAGGAGCCAGCTGGAGGACCAGTCTGCCCTGCTGTGCCACCACTACTCAGGTGCCCACTGGCTTCATGCCACCACCAGCTAGAAGCCACTGGACCAAAGCAGGCCAGATGGTGCCCTTGCCAACCTACGAGCAGCCACTGCGAACTGCCCACTGTCCACTGCCCATGTCCCCTGCCCTATCATTCAACTCAGGGATGAGTTTGGAGTCCTGATAACCTGAGGTAAAAAAGTTTTTGGGGGAGGGAGAGTGGAGCAGAAAAAGCTCAAGTGAGCGGAGAGTGTGTTGGAATATAAATGGGCCCTATTACGTTGTGTGTTTGTTAATGTAAGCAGCTGCGAGGTAGAGTCAGGGAATCGGTTGGTAGGAGAGAGACTGCTCCACAGGGAAATAAAGCCATCTTCAGGCTGAACTCATTTGTCCGTGGCTGTGAACTGATAGATAATTATATTAGGAGCTTTAAGTGCTCTTCTGCGATACAAGTATTACTACCATCTCCAGAGGCACAGAACAAAGTAGGGAGGAGAAGAATCTGTGTGCTACAACTGGGATAGTCATTGCTCTGCATCCAAATATGTGGATGCTGAAGTGTATTCAACACAGGGACCTCAATTAAAATCTAAATCATGACACAACGCTGTTAGTATTGGATCTATGAAGGACACAAATATGGTTTTTCCTTCGTAATTTACAGACTCAACCATACCCCTTACAGTATATTGCCCAAGTTAGTGTCTGATAGAGGGAGGCAAAATCTCTAATCCTAGCAGATGGTAACAAATATTGATAATCCTTTGAAAAACACACACATTAGTCTGGTACAAGATTACCAGTGTTAGATGTAAAGCATTAGATGCACTGTAACATATTCTCATGTACAGTTAGCCAATTTATTGATCCATCTAATCAAGACTTTATTTACGTTGTGTGACCAACCAATGACTAATTCCATATACATACTGTATGAAGAGCGGGCCCACAAAGGCTACATATATCCTGAATGTGTATTCGCTTTTAAATATAATATAATGATGAAGTATTCAAGTTTATCCTAACAAACTATTACACAAGCCAACTGCCATCACTACATGTACAGATTTTTGTACTTTTGAAGGGAACACAAATGTAGAAGATTGAAAATATTATTCACTTG